CCTCCCCTCTCTCATCCTCCCCCTCCCCTCTCTCATCCTCCCCCTCCCCTCTCTCATCCTCCCCCTCCCCTCTCTCATCCTCTCCCTCCCCTCTCTCATCCTCCCCCTCCCGTAAAATCCGTGTGTGATGAGGCGATTTTTTAGTCGACTCAAAAATCACACCCTGAATTCCCTCCCCTCTCTCATCCTCCCCCTCCCCACCACTCACCGCGGTACTGCTTGTTGTTGATGATCACCGTGGGCAGGATGGTGACGTCACCACGGTCGCCCGTGCCAATCTGCACAGACGACAATGCATCAATGAATCATCAGCTAAATCAAACGGAACCATCCGATCAGGTTTCCAACCATCAAACTCACTCCCCTCACATCTTCGTATGCCAAGGCCCAAGCAGCCCATCTTTCTCACACCTCTGGCTCCCGGTTCCGTCTCTGACCCACCCTTCGTCCTCAGATATTTATTTAGTTTAAAGTCCCTTTCCTCGAATCAACCCGTCCCCTTTAACTCGCCTACTTTTGCGCTTGATGGCAAAACCCCTTCCCCCGATCTCCCACAGGCGCCTCCTGTTCCGCATTAAGCACAGCATTATCCTCGTCCCTGGCAAGTCCCTCTTGAGGCGCCTCAAAAGGCGCCTCCTGTTCCGCATTGAGCACAGCATTATCCTCGTCCCTGGCAAGTCCCTCTAGTCAGTGACACAGTGCAGTAACACCACTCCCCTCTCCTCTCCACCCCTTACCTTTCCCCCCTCTCTCCCTCCACTCCACCCACCCACCTGCGCCTCCTGCTCCGCCTTGAGCATGGGGTTGTCCTGGTCCTTGGTGGGATCACTCTAATGACCCAGTACATTCATAACACTGCCCCTCCACCTCCCAGCCACCTCTCTCCTTCTCAGCGGATGTCCCACCTGCGCCTCCTGCTCCGATTTGAGCACGGGGTTGTCCTGGTCCTTGGTGGGGTCAGTCTAGGATACAAGGCAAGAGGCACTCTCTATATTTGTAAAATAAGTACATTCCCCCTTCCCCCACCCACCTGCGCCTCCTGCTCCGACTTGAGCACGGGGTTATCCTGGTCCTTGGTGGGGTCGCCCATGCACTTGCGCACCTTCGCCACGTCCAGCCCTGCGGAACGTGCACGGGAGAGACGGGACCGGGGGAAGCATGAAGGGGGGTTCGCGGGGAACGGGTGGGACGGGGGGGCCAAGGACAGGCAAAACGGCGGATGGGGGGACGGAGAGAGGGGGACGGAGAGAGGGGGACGGTGAGAGGGGGACGGTGAGAGGGGGACGGTGAGAGGGGGACGGTGAGAGGGGGATGGTGATAGGGGGATGGTGAGAGGGGGATGGTGGGAGGGGGATGGTGGGAGGGGGAAGGTGGGAGGGGGATAATGGGAACTTGTGGTAATCCGCTGTACAGGGGTTCGAGTCCTTTCTGGAAAATAAAAAAGACGGGGGCAGTGAACGAGGTTCAATGCAGACTCAGGGAAAAAAGGATGCCAAGAGGTTCCCACGGCAAAGGGGAAAAACGAAAACGAAAAAGACAGCGACACACGTGGTGCTCTCCACACACACGGGCCCGTACGTCTTATCCGCCATGTAGCATTCATCCTTGTGTGAAGGGATGCACGGACAGAAGTGCACACACACACCGACGCACCTACCAAGACCTATCCACGCTTTTCTTTGTGTCTTCCACACGCGCGCACCCACACATTTTGTGCGCATGTCCCAGACCCACGCACACCCACATCCACATACCCAGCGTAGTGATGCTGCTTCCGCACACCCCGCACAGTATGCTTATCCGCCATGCGGCAGCAGCAATCATTGTGTGAAAGAATGCACGGCAGAAGTGCACGCACACACAGACGCACCTACCGCAACCCACCGTCGCTTCTTGTGCGTGGTATCTCACACGCACGCACCCACAGACACACACCCACGCTTCTTGTGCGTATGCCCCAGACCACGCATCCCCAGACCCACGCATCCCCAGACCCACGCATCCCTAGACACACGCACCCACAGACACGTACCCAGCGCAGTAATGATGCTCTCGGCGCACTCCGGCCCGTACGTCTTGTCCGCCATGCGGCAGCGCTTCTTGAAGTCCGTCACATAGTCCCACCACAGCCACGACCCGTGCGTCTCGTTCGCCACGCGGTGCACGCACAGCTGCCTCAGATTCTCCGCCACCACGTCCTTCCCGTCATACCCCACGTCGAAATCCTCCTCGGGATCCGGCGCGCAGTACCTCCCGGAGTTAATACACTGCGTCTTGCACTGCCGGCTTTCCAGATACGCCTCCGGGCAGTACCAGGTGATGTAATGCGGCGTGAACAGCGTGTACCCGCCCTGCTCTAACATTACCGCGTAGCCCTTAAACGCGTCCAGAAACTCCGCCTGGGAATCGCACTTCGGCCCGCACTCGTCGTTGCTGTTGGTCCAGAACTCATACTCCACACGCTCGTCCGGATGCGGCAGCGCTTCCCGCCAGTCGAGTGAAACCATCACCGGGCCGCTCTTCAGCCCCTTTTTTATCAGATCCGCCGTCGATTTCTGGACCAGCGCCGACGGGATCGTGATCTTGTCGACCATGCGCGCCGCGTCGGGATCGTCCTCGGGAGTATCCATGGTGAGGAGATTTTCGTCCTTGTCGTCCGCGACGATCACGGCGGACGCGCCGGCCTCCTGTGCGTTGAACACCTTGTCCGTGAAATAGCAACCTGGATTTGGAGCATAGACAGAAGGACGCAATGGGTGGGGGTACTACGTGAAAGGCGCAAAGAAAGATCGCGTTGAGTGGCATCACCAATGCCCATGGTATGGGCTTCTCGTCCTTGTCGTCCGCGACGATCGCGGCGGACGCGCCGGCAGGCATCCTGCGCGCTAAGGACCTTGCAGTGAAGTAGCGGCCTGGTGTCGCGGCAAGCGTTGACGGATAGGGTGACGTGGGAGACACGCAAGCAATGGTAATTCGCCATAAACGCGTCCTTATTGTAAGGTAGCAGCCTGACGACGGTAAATATCTTTGAGGAATAGGGTAACGTGAGCGACACGTAAAGAATGGGTATTCATGTGGTGAGGGAATTCTCGTCCGTGTCGTTCGCATCCATCACGGTGGGCGTTCCAGCTATTTCAAAATTGTAACACCTAAGAGACGAAGTAAAGCCTGAATTCGAGAAGAATGTGATGAGAGACAGGTACAAAGAAGGACTCTCAAAACGATATGAAGGAAAAACATGGATCAACAAGCATGATAAAAAAGAAAAGGAAATCCCAAATCGATGTGCATCACAGCCATGAACGAATATGTAAATTACTCACAGCAGGGCGGAATTCAGAGGAGAAAAAATAATCCAAAATAGGTCAAATACCAAAAACCAATCGCACCTCCGCGGTCAACGATGACGATATTCGGCATGCCGCCAGCCTTCGTCGCGAGGTCGTTCCCCTTGTACGGCTTGCACATGTCGTTCGATTTCGCCGGGTACACGACTGTGCCCTGCAGCGAGCCGCCGTACTGCGGGATGCCGAAATTGGCGATGGCGCTGAGATACTCGCCGCGGATCTTGTCTGGAGAGTTAATCATGAGGCTGTGCGACTCGACGACAAAGCGAGCCGACGCAGTTTGGAAACACCACGCGAGCATGAACGATAAAGCTAAGAACAACACATGGCGAGCCATGGTGGCTGTAAGCTGAATCAAGATCGGCACGAAATTGCAACTACCGTAACTGAAGGCGTGCAGAGACCGAGATTAACAAGTTAGTGCCACGCAAGAACCGCTTGATGAGGCCGGACGCACACGAAAATAACTCAGGACTACGCTACCCGCTCAAGCCAAGCTCGTGTGCTCTCTGCCTAGTCTTCGCCTATGTGGGTCTGCTCTCTGCTGTGCTCTGTTGGCTAACAACAGCGGAATCTGACTTGAGGTTCCTGATCCAGCACCGTACTGAAATGTTTTGTACTTCCAAGATCCAGGGTAGTAATTTATTGAACTGCTTTAAACCGCTATGAACGAGTGAAACTGCAAGGAGTTTGGATACACCTCACAGGAAGTGGAGTCAAGCACACAGGTCACCACAGGGAACTCCTCGGCGACGACGACTGGAACTTGAGATCGTCGTTGACGACATTAACGACGCGAATCGGCGAGCTGTGACGGGGAGATTGAGCGAGGGTGATGGTGTTGTTTGCGTTGCGAAAGGTCGGTGCGACGAGTGTAGGTGGTCGCACGTGACGTCAACTACAGCATTCCCAGCTATAAAGGCTGCCATGAGGAGATCAAGTTCTCTTGGCTGTCCGACTTTCTCGCCTGTGCATGATGATGTCAATCGACTGGTCAAAGGCTGACATGTGGCTGCCGAGCAGTGGGTCGAGAAATGCAGCAGCCCTGGTTTGTTGAAACTGATTTCCATATGTTATTGAAATGTAGATTGCCGCACTTTCTGGGAATAAATTTCCAGTAATCACAAGTGCTTGAAGCGATGACCCCACAAAAAAGCACAGTCGGGAGCCCCCGCTTCACGCACTTATTGGCGAAGAACTCCAGTGTGTTTGAGCTTTTGTAACCTGGCGTTGCTGTCGCGAACGAATTCCAGGACACCCGACCCGAGACTTAGTAATTCCAGTAATTCCAAGATAACATGGAAGCACTAACCAATTTACATGCATGGTGTGAGAGCCACGCCATGGCGCCTAGGTGGGAGTAGCGTGCTGCAACCACGCAAGCACGACACGTTCAAACGTCTACTTTTCGACATGCAGCTCTCAGATCTTCAATCTCCGGTGCTGGTTCCAAGAAATACGGTGGAGGAGAATTGTTGCCAAGACTTTTCAAGTGAAACTTTCGATCAGTCACGCGTGTGAAGAATCTCTTCCATCACTTTGGATTCAGGCGAAAAGATCGTTTCCATATCAGCCAGGCGCGTTTGATTCATAAACCTAGTCGATTGAGTTCTTCTCCTATCCCCGGCAGCATTTTGCCGTGAAACAAGAAGGATGCTGCCTTCAAGCCGTCTCGTTTTCTCGGCGTTGCGGCAAAGCCGTCAGGTGCGTTAGGTTCCAGAGCGCTATTCACGCTGCTTCTAACCCATCGTAGGGATCATTGTGGATGTCTGTGCGTCAGTTACTGTGGTTGTTATTCACGAGGTGGATCGCGAGCATGAATATGTCTGATTTTTTTCTTCATTCCATAGTTCTGATGACACGCATGGAATATCCAGTAAATTAAATATGCTGTGCATTTCTCCTCCACGCAGGTACTGCCAGGGAGGCGGTTGTTTGGTGTTGGAATAGGGGAGACGACTGAAGCAGGTACGGAAGCGGAGTCACTTCCCTTCGAATTTCCCTCACTTTTGCCCCCCCTCGCTTGCTTTCGCGTTTATGAAATGAAAACAGTGATAGACAACGAATTTCCTCATTTTTTCTCCATCCATGGGCCTGTGGACTTCCAGGTCACCCGAAGAACCCCAACATGACTCCCAATGAGGATCACTCTCCAGCCACCACTGACGACCTGACACGTGAAGATGCTGAGTCAGCAGCACCAACCCCAGGAGGCGGCCCCACCAGCCTGATGGATGCGAGGGGCGAGAAGGAGCAGAGGCACTCCACACATCTGAGGGCCAAGGGGTTTGCAGTGACAGAGCTGGAGGCTGGAGTGACTGATGCTGAGGAGAAATTGATAAAGAGGCCTGGATCTGGCTTGGGAGGAAGCAGGCTGTCAGTTACCAGTGTAACAATCTCAGGAGTGCCAAATTGACAGAGGTGGTCATGGAATGGTCCTTCCTGCCCTTGTAATGCCAGGTGATCATAGGCATAACAGTGCCCAAATGACATTAGGGATATGCAGAGAGGCCTTGGCAAGATACCAGAGGCAGTCTGTAAATAATTTTCTGTGTTCCGGTTGTACCATACCTTTACTCAAGCTTGTGTATTTTGGCTTGGTTACGGTAGGTCTGCAGTGACTGGATCCAGGAGTGAGAGATGCTGAGGAGAAGCTGAGCCTGGATCTGGTTCAGGTGGAAGTAGGCAGTTACCGTACTAGTGACAAGTTGACGGTACTTGTTTTTTTTTATGCTCGCATCATACCATAATATGTTATTGTTTTGACTACTGCCGTATGAGAGCTACTAGTAGAAACCCTTACGTACCGGTACATCAAGCTGAGGTAAAGCACCGATAGTGCAAGTCTGTGAAACAAATGCTCCCATAGTACCGGTACTAATTCCTCTTACCACCGTAACGCCACTAGCACTATACTTGGTAGTGTCATAGACCTGTACAACCTCCAACTGCCTAGATAAAAAAACTGGTGTGCAGACTACAGCATGTAAGTGAACCACTTTTGTTTAGAAATATCTGCTCAGTTACCACCTCCCACTTGTCTCCGCCATGTGTCTTCTATAATCAGCTCGTCTACACCCCAGTCCTCATAGCTGCAGTAGTGTACAGAATGGAGAAGGGGATGGGAACGGTTGTTTCAGAATATAATATGGAAAATGGCTGATCCGAAACTCCACGAACGAACAAAACAAAACGTAATGCGCAGGTCTGCACGCACCTTCCATCAGGCAGGTATCTCCGAATGGTGAAAGGAATTTTCTTCTCCCGTAGCTCACGCATGGCAATCTGCCACGGAACAAGCGCAGCAGTGCGGCACATATGAGATGGCGAAATGGGTAAAGAGTGGACACTGACACAGACATGTCACACAAGCATGCGACATGACATGACATGACATGACATGACATGACATGACATGACATGGCATGACATGACACAGCAGGCAGTGAACGGCGTGCTGTAGCTCCACAAGAGATGCTATGACATGATTGGAAGCACATTCATGGCACTCATGACACTCATGACGTCATCAAAACACTCATCACACTCGACTAGTAAACAGCAAAAAGTGTGCCGTACAGCAGGAGGGAGGATAGACTGGGGAAGAACTCAAAATGGGCAACCGTGCAGTTGCAGCAAAGCACATTGTGTGGCTGCAAGCAAGCGACGTGGCATACCTCTAGAGGGTCCGTCTCTCCATGCAGCTCCACCATCACAGGCGCGTTCATGCTGGGACGAGCAGGGGAATGGACATGGGGCGGGAAGGTGGGCAGGGTGTAAGGGGCAGCGGAGGAGGGAACAAGGACTTCTGCATTCAGCATAACTCATGCAGGTTCAGCTCTCCATGCAGCTCCACCATCACAGGCGCGTTCATACTGGAACGAGCAAAAGAATGAGGCATGGGGGAGAGAGAGGTGAAGGGATAACATGTCCTGCATCGGCAGTACTAGTGAAGGTCACTAAATCATCACCGGGAGGTTCATGCTGGAGACAAGGGGAGCAGGAACCCCGGGGGGTGGGGAGGGGGGGGGGGGGGTAGAACTGTGAGAGGGGGACGATGACCAATGCACAAGAAACGGCACACAGCAAATTGCCCAAGAGATTCCAAACCAGAAGCCCTGTCCTGCAATCACCGTCCTTGCTCAGGTATCAGGACACGTTTCCCCTTTCCCCTCCACCCTCCACCTCTCTCCCAACACTCTCCCCCTGTATTTCCTCTCTCCTTCGTCCACTTGCATGCCCGTGCACAGGGATCAAGACACAGGGATCAAGACACAGGGATCAAGACACAGGGATCAGAACCTGCAGAACTCACCTGTTGCAGGGTTGGTTGGTTCTGCTCACTGCACCCTGCGCCCTGCCCCCCCCACCCTGCACCCTGCGCCCTGCCCCCCCCCACCCTGCACCCTGCGCCCTGCCCCCCCCACCCTGCACCCTGCACCCCGCACCCGGAACCCCGAACCCCGCACCATGGCTCGCTCCTACTTCGTCAGTTGGTGTCTTGTCGACTGTCGTCATGCATCAGACAACGTCAGACAACGTGCCTTTTCCGCCTCCTGCCCGATGCCTTTCCTCATTTCATCTGCAGGGCCCTTGCACCCAGCACTCTGGCGTGGTCGTATTTGGTCATGTAACTGGTCGTCTTGCGCGAATTGTCCGAGTTCTTCTTCCCCCTTTCCAGTCCTGCCTGATTCTTTTTCTCACCTGATCTGCAGAGCCCTCGCACACAGCACTCTGGCTCGCTCGTATTTGATCATGTATCTCGTGGTCATGCGCGGCTTGTCCCTTCTTCCCCCTTTCCCTCCTGAGTCCTGCCTGGTTCCTTTTCTCACCTGATTTGCAGGGCTCGTGCACCCAGCACTCTAGCGCGCTCGTATTTTGTCATGTATCTCGTCGTCTTGCGCGGCTTGTCCGATTTCTTCTTCCCGCCTCCGTCGTCGTCGCGAATCTCGATCAAGTCGCGCTCGCCATCCCCCTCCCCCTCCTCGCCGCCCTCCTCCCCTGCCTCCTCCTGACCGATGGGGTGGTAAAGAGATGGAGCGATTAAGGGATGGAACGATAAAAGGATGGAGCGATGGAGCGGTGAGAGACAAGACAGACAGACGGGAACCGCACGGCAGGCAACGGAACGTGGCGAGAACGACGATCGGAAGCACGAACGTCACGAATTGATTTGTTAATCGACTCACGAAACCCTAATCGACGTACGCAAGACACGAATCTCTGAGCGGCCTCAGTTAATCGACTGACGAGCTTTGAGACGTCGCAAAGACGAAGTAACGGCAACTAACGAGTGATGATTGGTCCGCACGTACCTCTGGTTCGGCCACCTCGGGTTCCTCGTAGTCCCTGCCACGTCACACAAAAAAGGCCAGGTCACATTACGTCAAGCCACGTCAACCCACGTCAGCAATTGTACGAAAACGAGGGAGTCAAGCAATGGCGACACGTAGAGTATAAGCCTCGAAGGTACGATGCCTATAAGGTTCTGATTATTCATGCTAGTTGATGCGAGAAGAAGGAATTGAAATAAAGAAACTGCTAATCCAATAAGCAGCTCCACAGAAGCAGGTAGGGCTTAGCTAACTATTGTGTTTTGAAACCACAAAACCTACACCTTCGTAGACGAGCTAAACCCTAGAAAACATGTTATTGTGCAAGCTTAGTAGACCGAATCCGGCGTCTTGCACCTACCCTCCGTAATCTTCGCCGAAATCGTCGCCTCCGCCATAGTCTTCGTCAGCCATGAGTGGAAACTGAAACAAATAGGGACACAAGACAGCACTTTCAGGTGTTTTACAATATAATTTTTGATTTCCGGAGGTCGTCGGCCCATTAGCTCAGTTGGTTAGAGTGTCGTGCTAATAACGCGAAGGTCACAGGTTCGAAACCTGTATGGGCCACGAGTTTTGACATAGCAAGTCTGAGAAAATTCTGAAACCAATTTCAATCCTCCACGTGATATTTCAACTGTCTTTTTGCATCGCTGCCCGAGGATTCAGCCGGTGATTTCTGGTCTCCGTCGGGCTCTGCGCATGCTCAATCCTGGGCGGGCACCTGCCTCGCTGGGTGGCCTCCTGTTCCAGGAAACTGGGACTGAATCGGACTTTCCATAAGCCACGCTAACGGCCATCACGTTCCACCAAGTGTCAAGTGTCTAAAGCCCGGCACGTCAAGAAAGCACAAGAGGGTCAGAGGAGTGTTCGAAGCCGAACAGGGAGGTTGGCGACAAAAAATGGAAGTGGACAGCCAGTTTTGCAGCAATCTGGAACAAGCCAAGGAGGGCATTCCTTCCGCCCTAGTCAGCTTGCTGGGCAGCGCAAGGTGTCTGCCCTCACGCTCAGTTACGACTGCTATTGTTGTATGCATTCTCCTTATTAATGTATACTCCAATTACCAAGAAAAAAAAGGTATTTTTGTATCGTCCGGTTGCTAAGGCACATTAACTTTTGTCTTCCCCGGTTTTTGCTCTAATGTGCTTCTATCCCATCTCGCCCCGCCACCCCTGCCTTTGCACGTTGCCTTCAGACTCGGATTGCCACTCAGGCTCAGTCCATTTTCGTTAATCGACGTGGCCAACACCTCGGCGTTCACATCCTCTCACTTGCCACCGTTTGCGCATGGCATCGTGATTCGGGAAGCCCCTCAGGCTCGCAGTCAGCCCCCTTGGACCACCTTGGTCATGGTTCTCACAACCACCGTCCTCTCTAACGCCACAACTAAATCTTCGTTTGTTGCTCCCCTTCATGCTGGGATGTATGTAGATTCCCCCTCAATCGCCCCATCCTTCCTCCCTGCAGCCGACGCCCAGGATGGAATCCCCTCCGCAAGTAGCAGCTCACCCTGGTCGCCTCATCCTTGACCCCCCCCCTTTCCACCCCGCTATCATGCTGCCCCTCCCCTGCCCACCTGGCTCAGCCTCCCCCCTTCGTGCCTCTCATGTTCTATCTTGGGCTCTCATATGGCCCCAAATCCCTGCTGCACTACCCTCCGCTCCCTTTGTGTCTTCACCTGATGTGCTCCCTGCCCCTCCTCTCATTCTGTGCTCCCTCCTCCTCCTCTCATTCCGTGCTCCCTGCCCCTCCTCTCATTCTGTGCTCCCTCCTCCTCCTCTCATTCCGTGCTCCTTGCCCCTCCTCTCATTCTGTGCTCCCTCCTCCTCCTCTCATTCTGTGCTCCCTGCCCCTCCTCTCATTTTGTGCTCCCTCCTCCTCCTCTCATTCTGTGCTCCCTGCCCCTCCTCTCATTCGGTACTCCTGGCAGTTTCCCTTGCTATATCAGTTTTCAGGCACATTTTCGGCCTTCCAAAAACTCTCTCCCGCCGCCTGCACCCCTAGTAGCTACTTCTACCCCTTGGTTGCTTTTCTTGCAACACTCTGCAATTGTTCATACCGGTACATGCTGCTATATTAGTCAAAGCTCTAGCTAGCACCACTGCTATATTAGTCAAAGCTCTAACTTTGTTAATGTGTTGTTACATGTCCTAGTTCTTCCCCGGAATGACCAGGGCATACCGAAAGGACTAAAACTCCACCCCCCCCTCTCACTCTTCCGCATACGTACATCACTATAAACCTGGTCCGGTCGTGAATACGCGCATGCACTCGTGTGGTGGCCTTTACCTCACCACCCATGTTAACACACCTTCGCATCCTCTGTGTCAATGTGAATGAAATCAATGCACCAAGGAAGATAAATGACCTCAAATCATGGATTTTAGCATATGAGGTCAAAACTGACCGTCTCACTCTCAATCTCCCCAAACTCTCACTCGAGCTCCGACTCCTTTCATGTGTTCAAGCCCCAACACAACTCTTTCAAGGAAACACTGGCGGGTAGCATGCTCCCTCGAGAGGCATCTCCATTCTAGCATACCACAAGGCTATCTCACTAACCTCACCCCTACCTAAGGTATATCCATTCTAGCCTCTCCATGCACCTCGACTTCCCCGCGAAAATACCAGTCTTATTGCGGTTTTTGCACCCACTCACCCAACACAGCGTTGCGTCTGGTGGAGATCCACCCTCAACCCTACCCTGGAACTGCAATATGCGGCCCCATCCATGCCGGCAGGGGACTTCAACTATTTCATTCTCTGTATCGACCAGACCCCCCTTCTAACATGTACACGAGCCTAGTGAGGGGGGAGGCTTGGCGGCTCCAGCTACAACTCACTTGCTCGTCAACATTTCCGGACTCTCCACCCTTCGAACCCATTTTCTCGTTCTTCGGCAGGCAACGCCTCCTCGCAGATAACGACACCGTCCCCCCAGCATCCCGTCTTGATAGGTTCTACATTTTACAGCCCCTCCTTGCCTGGCTCGCTGCCAACCCATACCTTCTTATTCCTACCTCCGTAACTGACCACACCTTCGCCCCCCTCTGCTCTATTTGCTTCGACAACCCCAGCATCTCCCCCCATCCATGGCGGTGATTCCGTGAAACTTCCTTCATTGCCCCCAGGTGGCCAATATAATCAACTATGCCCTTACGTCGCTGAGTGCTAACCCTTCCCCAGATGACTGGGGCAAATAGAAGCTGGTCCTCACTCTTAGCCTCAAGAGTTTCTCCAACCAGGAAAAGCGACGTGTAAAGGACACCATTGTCCACTTCCAACAAACTATCCTCTCCCTCCTACTCCAGGCCGCTTTTGCCCCCCTAGACCAAGCGTCCTTCTTCCGCCTCAACTTAGTATGACACCAACTCAGAAAGACCCCATGCCCAGACGCTCTCCCCGGCGAGCTCTTCCGCCACTTCAGCCCCTGCTTCCCCCCCCCCCCTTCCTCGCCTTGTCCATATCCTCTCCTCCCCTCTCCCACCTTCCATGCTCTAAGACAGGAAGGTTGTCATCCCCACAAATTGAAGACTTCAGCCCTATCACCCTCATGAACGCGAAACTTAAAGTCCTTGATATTTGCTTTGCCCACCACCTCCAAACCGTCCTCCCCCACATTATCCGCCCATCCCAAACCTCCTTCATCAAGCACGCAAAATCGTCCACATCCCCTCTGCTCTCACGGTCGACTTCCGCTAGTAGACCGACCATTCCTCCTCCGAGCTCTCTCCTAGCTTGGTGTTCCATACACCATCATTAACTAGGTTCGCCCCATGCACTCCATACACTATCATTAACAAGGCTGTCCTCTTTCTCCCCTCGTTTTCGTTCGCGTCATCGAAATTTTCCGTCGCTAAACGTCCTTGTTCAGGGTTTAGGGTTCCCCCTTTCCGCGACACAATGCCGCCTCATGGCCTGCTTCGCAGAATGACGTCACTCTGTTCCTAACCTTTGACAAGGAATTGGGTTGTGTCGTTGAGTACATCCTCACTTTCGTCTCAGTTTTTTACTAACACACCAATTGGAACAAATTCTCCATCTCACGTTCAGCCTCCACATCACAGTTCTCACTCACGCAGGGACTATCCCCATCCAGGCCCTGCATGAACTGAACACATCCTTGGCATTTTTGTCAAACGCTTACACATTGAGTCTATAAGATTCCCTGCAGCCTTGCATGCGACGGCCACCTGCCGGAAGGCGCTCACATTAATATCTATAAGTTGCGTCCCCTCCTTTCCATACCGGTTCTGATCGGTTCCATACGTGGTCGTTGGCAATCTCCTCTCTTCCTCACGCTATCGGCAGTCAAGGCTCGCGGTTCGCCTCATCCCTAACCACCTCCTATACAACTAGGTCCATCATAGCGGCCTTGGTGTTACCCCCCCATCCACCCGAATACAGGCCCTCACAATCCAACACGCTCTCCAAAGATTCGGAACAGTCGTCCACTTTTTTATCCCACTCCCTTTTTGTACCCACATCCTCCTACCCCAACCCTATATGTCAGAATCCCAACCACTAGACCATTGGGATAAAAGGGCTTGTTAAGTAGCGGGTCAGTGCGCCCATAACCCCCCAGGCCAACATGCCTGTAACCCTTCCCTAGGATCAATCGGGGATCACCAGTGGACCTCTGACACCCCCCCGCACTGGGATGCCCGAAGTGCACACACTGGGATTCGAACCCGAGACCTTCCCTCTGATACCATGTCAGAATCCCAACCACTAGACCATTGGGATAAAAGGGCTTGTTAAGTTGCGGGTCAGTGCGCCCATAACCCCCCAGGCCAACATGCCTGTAACCCTTCCCTAGGATCAATCGGGGATCACCAGTGGACCTCTGACACTATATAATCCACCGTGGCATCCTCCCCCATATATACCCCCCTACGCTCGGACGAAACTTGAAGGCCTTGCCTCCCTTCCCATTGATGACATGCCCCCCTCACCTCGGCCACCCTGTCTACTTGCCGAGCCTACTGCCTTCAACCACTTGGTCCGGCCGTTTGGACACTGCCAAGACGAACGCTTCCTCTTGCTACAGCAGGTCCGTATCGAACACCTCGTCCGTTTTAACACCTACTTCCTCGGCACGATAATCGAGACCGAATTCTTCTCACAATTCCCGCAAGCCGATTCCGCTGCTGGAAGAAGACTAACCATAGCCTTCATTGCTGCCATACCTGACACATGGAGGTCCGCCTTTTGCTCTCCCCCTTCCCCCTCGGCCTCCGTAGGCAAATGGTTGGTCTCTTCGTCCGAGTCAGAAAAAGTGTAATAAAAGTTATGGATTGGTTGTCGTCGGCCCATTAGCTCAGTTGGTTAGAGCGTCGTGCTAATAACGCGAAGGTCACAGGTTCGAAACCTGTATGGGCCACTAGTTTTGCTTTCCTTGACTGTACAGTCGTTGCATAGCCGTGTATGTTCTCGAAGGGGGAAATAATGTGCTGGCAGATTTTCCAATCAGCTCGTCAGCACGTGGTCGACCATGGAAGGTGTCTTCGAACCGTCCTGGCTTGGATTGGGGCAATGGAGATTGTCTGCCCGTCGCGATTGGCTGCTGGGGTTCATCGTTTTTCGACGAGTTTCGCGTCGCGTGAGCTGGACACCAGGAGCGTGTGCATGCGGTCTGCACCACACACAGAATTCAAGAAATGACGGGCAGCTCGAACTGGAATTCCGAGAATGTATTGGAGGAAAGAACCGACGGGCAGGACTACATTGGTATTTATAAGAATATGGCCTAAATAGATTTTGATACGACTGTTATCATCATTTTTTTGAGTACTCAAAGTGCCCCGCTCTTCTGGCCCTCGACCCTCATCTGCCCGAGTGCCTTCCTTCCTCTGCCCCACCAAGCCTCGAGGCTGTCCCCCCTCCCCTTTCACACCCCTTCTCACCAACATCTTTCTTCCTTGCCAGGATTTATAAAACGTCCTGCATTTCCTCCTCCAAGACCTTCTGTTATTGGGGCTGTTTGTGGGAGGGACGCCCTCGTCTCCCGCCTTAGCCCCTTGGAGATTTCCTCCCATCGGGACTTCTTTCCTGCGTCTCTTGCTTCAAGATAGGTGTCGCGAGGATATTCGGAGCGCCGCAATATCGAGCGTCGCTTATTAAACCTTTAAAGGAGTCGTGAGGCTCAGCTAGTCCCGATTGGCGGCGTTTCGCGCGCCCTCCATTAAGCGAGCTTGGCGGTTCGCTACCATGGATCCATCAAACCACCAGCCTTTTTCGCACTCCAGAACCAGATCTCCCCCTCACACCATCATCAATCCGCCGTCCTTCACCCATCACAACCGCACCCAACCTTCCATCGCCAACAATAGCTCCCGAACCTCTCAGTCTGGCTCGGCATTCGCAGCGCCGTTCCTCCTCAATGCTCGTAGTGCAATCACAGCTGCCATAGCCGCAGCCGCCGCAGGATCCGGGCGGATCGCGCAATGCCAACCCGCTGCTGCTGCGCCGGCTGCGCCGGCGGCGGCGGCGGTTGCGGCGGCAGCGGCGGCTCCGTCAGCAGCAGCAGCGGCTGCAGCGGCGGCAGTCGCGGCGGAAATCCATCCGTCCGTTCACGAGCCGCCGCCGTCGTCGACGATCGGATTCGCGGAGGAGCTCGTTCCGCCCGTGCCTCCCGCCGGAAGTCCCGGCGCGGGGGAAGGCGGAGCCGGCGCAGCGGAGAAAGTGGAGCCGCGATTGACGGTGGCTTCGATCACGAAATCGCTGATCGCCGGAGGCGTCGCAGGAGGAGTGTGAGTTTTCGCTAAGACAATAACGATGTATCCTCGCAGTGGTAACCAGTTTCGCCCATAGTTCATCGGTAGGTGCGTCGCCGGAGGAGTGCAAGTTGGTAACCAGATGCCAGTTAGTGTAGCGGTTAGAGGTGGAAAATGAACACGGTACCAACTCGCAACGTCGCAGTGTTTTCTTACCATCTGGAACCCGTCGTTACTAGGATTTTTAATATTATCCCGGGGTTTATCCAGGATTGCACTCAAGTTCTAAACCCTGTATCCCCGTCCCCCCACCTTCCCCACAATCCATCCCTCCCTGGTTGTGGTATGGATTGGCATCGCATGGTGTTGTATGGATTGGCATCGCATGGTGTGGTATGGATTGGCATCGCAAGGCGTGGTATGGATTGGCATTGCATTGCGTGGCATGGCATGGCATGGCATGGATTGGCATTGCATGCTGGCATGGATGCAATGCAGATCGAGGTCGGCAGTGGCGCCTCTTGAGCGGATGAAGATCCTGCTGCAGGTATGGTGGCCATGGTGGGAGGATATAGCTGAGGATGTGGCTTGATGAGATGGCTAAAATGGCACCAGGGATCTGTTCCACCCTAGTACCCTTTTGAGTCGACTCAAAAGTCATGATGATATGGCTGAGGATGTGGCTTAATGAGATGGCTAAAACAGCACCAGAGATCTGTTCCACCCCAGTACCCTACCCCACCTAGATTGCTCTCTTCCGCCCCATTAACCTACCCTACCTAGATCCCCCTTCTCTTCCTGAGTCCTCCTGACATGCTCTCCCCTCGCTCAACTCATCCCTCCCTCTCCTTCTCTCAACACCACAGGTGCAGAACGCGCAGCACGCACAGTACAGCGGCACGTGGCAGGGGCTGAAGACAATTTGGAGGGAGGAGGGCATCAGAGGGCTGTTCCGTGGAAACGGCACCAACTGTGCTCGCATTGTCCCCAACTCCGCTGTCAAGTTCTTTGCTTATGAGGAGGCTGCTCAGTGAGTGAAAAAAAAAAAAAAAAAAACACTCTGTGCAGCTGCCAGCCGCCTACTGAGTTTAGGTTGAGTTTAGTTTAGTTTTTTTAGTGTTTTTTTGGTATTTTGTTGTCAGTTTTTTTTTTTTTTTTTTCCTCCATGCATGTCCCTCCCCGTTCCTCTCACACTCACTGCATCCCCACTTCTTCTCTTCCCGTTGCCCTTTCCCCGTCTCCTCCCCCCTCCAGTGGTCTTCTCTGGTTGGCCCAGCAGCAATCCAACGATCCCAGTGAGTGCTTCAACACCCTCACTGCTGCTCACCTTCTTCCTGCCTCTGCCTTTGTAGTTGCCTCTGCCTCTGTCTCTCCCTCTGTCTTGTAATCTGAGCATGTCGGCACTGGGTTTGATTGAGGCCTGCCATTGTTTTCAAGCCACCCTGCTCTCGCCCATCTCCTCCTGTCCCGGCCCTGTGTGCGTCAGGCCTATACCACCCTCCCATCCCTCCCCTCCCCGCCCCTCCCCGCCCCTCCCCGCCCCTCTCCCCTCGCTATCACCCCACACCCTAACGCAGACCTGCAGCAAACGCCAGTGTTGCGACTGGGGGCACGCCTTTGTGCGTCAGGCCTTGAATATTTCCCAATCACCCCCTTCTATTAACTTCCCCTCCCTCCCACCCACCTCCCGCCCACCCACCCTAATGTAGACCTAGAGCTGACGCCGGTGCTGCGGCTGAGATCAAACCTCTGCATGTCAGCCATTGAATTACCCACAGTCACCCCCACCTATTCTTTCCCGGCCTCCCTTCCGTCTTCTCTCCTCTCCCTCTCCCGTCAGACCTGGAGCTGACACCAGTGTTGCGGCTGGGAGCAGATTTTCGTGCATCAGGCGTTTTAAGTGCCCACCCCTCTTCCCCCATTCATTCCTCCAAAAAGCGCAGATCTGGAGCTGACACCAGTGCTGCGGCTGGGGGCAGGGGCGACAGCCGGCATCATCGCCATGTCCGCCACATACCCCATGGACATGGTCCGAGGGCGACTGACAGTGCAGGTGAGACAGGGGCAGTGCAGGTGGTATGGCATGGCATGCATGGCATGCATGGCATGAGTGTGGCGTGGCATGAAATGGCATGGCGTCTCGTGGCGTGGCATGGCATGGCATGGCATGGCATGACATGTTGGCCTATTCTCACCAATCCTCCTCGCCCTTCCCACACCTGCCCTGTGCTCTCTTCCCACCATCACCACCCTCACCAGTCTGGCCGGGCAGGGGAGCAGCGCTACAAGGGCATGCGCCACGCGGCGGTGACTATAGTGAAGGAGGAGGGCGTGCGCGCCCTTTATAGGGGCTGGCTGCCTTCTGTTATTGGCGTGGTGAGTGGTTGGATAGGAAGGTGAGTATACGAGAGTGTGGCTATAGTGAAGGAGGAGGGCGTGCGTGCACGCGATAGGGGATGGTTGCCCTCTGTTATTGGAGTGGTGAGTGGTTCCTGCAGTGAGTGATTGCAATCACTTTCGTATACTTGCAATCACTCAAGGATTGCAGTGGACAGCGAGTGCACTTGAGGGTGACCATTCAACGTCCTCGTCACCCTTCTCACCCTTTCCTCCCTTTCCCATCTGCCAGGTCCCCTACGTGGGGCTCAACTTTGCAGTGTACGAAACCCTGAAAGACCAGCTTGGGAGAATGTATGCAGCACAGCATCCCGACAACCCCGAGATGGGGGAGCTTTCAGTCCTCACAAAACTTGCATGCGGGGCCGTGGCGGGGACTCTAGGCCAGACCGTCGCCTACCCTCTGGATGTGATTCGGCGGCGCCTGCAGATGGTGGGGTGGCGGGACGCGGCGAGTGTGGTGAGGGCGGATGGCACGGTGGCAGCGGCGCCGCAGTACATGGGGATGGTGGATGCTTTCAGGAAGACGGTGCAGATGGAAGGCGTGCGAGCGCTGTATAAAGGGCTCGTCCCCAACTCTGTCAAGGTGAGATAGAACCCGTCCGTGACAAAGAACCCGTCCGTGACAAAGAACCCGTCCGTGACAAAGAACCCGTCCGTGACAAAGAACCCGTCCGTGACAAAGAACCCGTCCGTGACAAAGAACCCGTCCGTGACAAAGAACCCGTCCGTGACAAAGAACCCGTCCGTGACAAAGAACCCGTCCGTGACAAAGAACCCGTCTGTGACAAAGAACCCGTTACGGATTCCGTGAGCGCGACATTGCCTTGTGCTGGTTCAGACTCCAAGTGCTTGTGTAGACTCGGTGCGCGGGTTAGTGGTTCTGTTGTTCCTTGCCCTCTGTGTGCTGTTTGTGGCCCTTCAAGCAGTGCCAGGCACGAACGTCCCTCTGTCTGTAACATCATCATCCCCCAAGCCAGACATTCGTGCCTTCTGAAATTCCCTGTGTGTGTGTTTGTGCCCCTTCGTACCCCCATTCGACACACCAGGTGGTGCCATCCATTGCCATTGCGTTTGTCACGTACGAGATCATGAGAGATCTTCTCCATGTGGAGATCCGCATCTCCGACTGACACACACGGCAGCATCTTTAACGCTACCACCACCAGCCGGCATCATATGCCAAGTCTCAGTACCAACACCGACTAGTTCAGTGTTATTGGGGATCCTCGTAGGTGGATGGGACACTGGCACTCTCCATTGCAGCTCGGATTGACAGAATGGGATGGATGGATGTGCTGTATGTTTAGGCAGGAGTGCAATAATATGCAATAACGAACCTTGCAAAAGGTTTGTTCTTTAGAATTGAAAATCGGGGATGGGTATGAAAAAAGGCCCTATTATTAATGCAGTGACTTATAGAGAAGATTGGCTTGTGCTGTTCCATGGCCTACAATTGAAAAACACCTCTGGAAGGTGATAGAAGGACAGTCAATTGGGAGGCTCGTTTCTTTTTCCGTATCAGTCTACGGATTTTGTAGTGTATTTTTCACATAATCCTGGCTCCTTTAGTTGTTGTGACGAATGCGGATGATTTGAACAACAGAGCAACACAGCCTTTCGAGTGTTGCGAGTTTGAATTTAGCTTACCACTGACGCTGGCTGAATCTAAGGCGAAACAAAGTTTAGTTCCTGACTAGAAGAGCCGCATGCTTGAACGAATGGTGCATTTTTCGATTAAAGGGCGACACCCGAATTACTCAAACCAAGTCAACGCACTGGCGTTTTGGTTTGGGGTGCGGCCAGTTTGAGGGACAACAGTAGGTCCTGTCTGAGTTGTCGCTGTCGCCCGCAAACACGTCGTTGTCTCGCCTCGTCGCCAATTCCATTCTCGTTAACGATCGCTGATAGTGCGAAACAGCTTTAAGTCGCTCGTCAGTAGTCGCATTGCGAGATTCGCCAGAAATATTTTTGCGACCTGAAGTGCGTCTCAGACCGTCGCACGTCTCGTCGTCAGGATGTCGCCATTGTCGCGCCTCCCCTTCGCCATATCGCCGGACGCACTGCAGATTCTCCGATCGCACCGCATAGCCACGCGTAACTTCTGCGTTCTCCTTTAACCCCTTATCCTTTTCCTTTCCTCGATTTTATTTCGCCCATTCCCTTCCTTGCTTTCCCTTTCTCGCTGTCCGTTTTTTTCCTTTGCGTTTCCTGCTTTCCCATTCTCCCGTTCCCTTTCTCCATATTTTTCCCTTACCGTTTCTGCTTATCTATACCTTTCCCCCCTTCTTTGAATTCGCATCTTCTCCCTCTTCTTTCCCGTTTGCCTTCTCGCATTCATCATCTGTCCATGAACCCTTCATTTTGCGCTTCTGTGAGCATGCATGTGTAATTCATGCACCAATCCTGCATGTGTGGTGAATGGAGCGTGAATGCTGGGTCGGTGCGTACTGGGTGTGAGGAATGAAGCAGTGGAGGATTTCATTATGGCGGATGCTCGCATGCTTCGGAGGGATGTGGAGGGCATGGCGCATGGCAGCGCCAAAGAGGACGTTTTACAGGTGATGGTGATGGTGATGGCGATGGTGATGGTGATGGCGATGGTGATAGGGGAAATTCGCATGCGTGTAGGTGTATTTTGAGGCGCCTCAAAATATTTTGAGGCGCCTCGAAATTCGCATGCGTGTAGGGGGTGTGCTCGCATGTATCTGGGCGTGATGTTGGTGTTGGCACATGGTTACAATCATACGTCCGCAATTCTGTCATGGTTGCATGCATGTGCAAATGTGCATGGATGAGCACGCATGTGCATGGATTTGAATGGGTGTGCATGCATGTGCGTGGATGTGCATGGATGTGCGTGGATGTGCGTGGATGTGCGTGGATGTGCATGCATGTGCGTGGGTGGATATGGGCCATCCCATCCCATGGCAGGCCATAGACAAGCTGAATCACCACATGGTGCATGCCATGTGCATGCCTGCGCATGTCAGTGGGGACCAACTCCTGAGGGACTTGGACTGGGAGATTACAAGTACAAGGGAGGGCTTGCCCAGGGAGGGCTTGCTGCAAGGGCACTTGAACCAGGAAAACGTATATGGGCAGCTGGCTCAAGGGCAGGGGAGATTGAGAGTAGATGAAGAAGAGGCGAAGTGGCATCACAGGGGAGAGGAACTGCAGGAGCAGTGGCAAGAGGGGGGTGGTGTTGGTGGTGGGAGGCGGTGGCGGCATGCTACAATCAGCACAGGGTGCGCAAGGTGAGTGCCATGGTTCTGTGTGGTGCTTTGCGGTTCAGTGTGTGGTGTGGTGTGGTGTGGTGTGGTGGGAGAATAAGGGCAGCAAGTGCAGCAGCAGAAGCAACTGTGGCGGCATGACCGTGACAGTCAGCTAGGCAAGAGTGTGCTGCATGGTGCATGGTGCACGAAAAAATGGTTCACATTCATGTCCACACTCTCGACTCTGAAGGTATCTAACCTTCCAGCCATTCCCAGATTTTTATTTTATTTATAAATGCCAGCCAAGTCTCAGATAAAGAAAGTCTCGAATCCCCCCCCCTTTTTTTTTAAATAATCGTTCTTACTTCCAGTGTTCCTATTGTCATTATCACAGCGCATCCCGTATCCCCCCAAATCCGCTCGCATCCAAGGTTCCACGCAATCCCTCTGTCTGTCAAAATTTCACATGCACCCGCCTCTCTGTCCCTCCGAATCCGCCCTGCTGCGTCCCATCCATCCAGTCTCGACTCTCTCCTGGGCAGCGGGCTGCGCCTGGCTGCTGTGACCGAGATCACTGGCGCTGCTGGTTAGCACTAGCGTGGCCGGTATTCGCAATTCGAGCTCCCAAGCCCCTATGTCACTCTCTCCCCCCAATGTGCCCTGCTGCGTCCCATCCATCCAGTCTCGACTCTCTTCTGGGCGGCGGGCTGCCCCTGGCTGCTGTGACTGAAGTCACTGGCGCTGCTGGTGCAGGCAAGACGCAGGTGGGGCTGTTGGATGGTTTGGGTGGGGTGGGAGAGAGGGTGAGGGACAGGCCTTCATGGTGCTTGTTTTGTAGGTGATTCAGGAATAGGAGGTTGTGGGGCTGCTTTTGGGTTGACTCAAAAGTCACTTCTTTTGAATCGACTCAAGCGTCACTTGGTTGGGTGGGGGAGAGGGTGAGGAGACAGGCCTTCATGGTGCTTGTTTCGTAGGTGATTCAGGAATAGGAGGTGGTGCGGCTGCCGGAGGGTAGGAACAAGGGACTCATAGCGTTGTTGGTGCAGGGGAAAGCTCAGGTGGGAAAGCTGAAGTGGGGGAAAGCTCAGGTGGGGGGGATTCCAGGCAGGGAGAACTGCAGCGGGGAACACTCAGGTGGCATCGACACCTCTCGAATGGTCCTTCATTGAATAAGCATGCGATACAACAGGGTCACGTCATTACGGTAAGAACAGGCATGCAACGTAGGGGCCTAAGGCAGCTCGAAGTCGGGCTCCAACATGTGGAGGTGGTCGCCGGTGTCGAGGGGTTCGTCCTGGAAGGGGTTCATCGTCCTGGTGAACATCTCTCCATCTCCAAACTGCTCTCTCATTCCGCCTCCCCTTCCCCTTTCAACCCACCCTGCAGTTCTGCCTGCAAGCCGCAGCCGTAGCTGCAATCGCCCCACTGCTCGCCCAACCTGGTAGTTCAAAATCCTTGCAAGGCCAGGGCAGCACACCCGCTCCGTACAGCTCAAGGCAGTGTACCCCCCAAGGCAGTGTGCCGCCTGGGACAGGGTCGGCAGTGCCACCCGGCGTACAGTCAACACCAGTGCCGCCCAGTACAGGGTCGTCGGTGGCGTTTGTGGACACAGCTGGGAGCTTCTCTGCTGCCCGCATCGCTACTGTGATTGGGCGGATGATGGGGTCGAGAGAGCGATGCCAGGTGAGGAGCATATACAAGGGAGGAGGTGTGTGTTTTTGTCTAGAGCATACTGCTCAGTCCCTCTCCCCCACTGCTTTTCCATGAAGGAGACTCACAGCTCCGCTGCTGTGCTCATCGCCACAGCTATTGATCCTTGAGCGCAGGCATTGGTGTGGATGAAAAGTATGTGACATGCATTCCTCCCTGGTGTCTCAGGAATCAAGGGCCATTGTGACGCGAGCCTTGAAGGCTGTGGTGCGCATGAAGGCATATGACATCCACTCGCTGCTGTCCCTCCTGGCAACCATTGCCCAGCACAAGAGAAAAGCCACTCAGGTAAAGCGTATGATTCGAAACGAGATTGTTTTTGCTAGTTATATTTTTCCTGTACCGTGCAGTGCACTCTCTTCGCCACCCGTGCACTCTCTTCGCCACGCACACTTTTCTCTTAACCTTCTGTCTCTCCTCTCGGCATCCTCCATCCTCAACTCTTCTTTCTCTTCTGTTGGCAGTCACACTAGACGTAAAAGGGCCTTTCTCCCCCTTCGTTCTTAACCGTCCGTTCTTACGTGCTCTCCTGGCAGTCGTCGGATTTCTTCTCTGTTCTTCGCCTGCTCATCATCGACTCTGCCTCTGCTGTTGTCTCTCCTGTGCTTGGGGGCCATGGTCCACAAGGTAATCACATAAAAAATGTGAGGAGTGTAACATGTGAGGGGAACGTGTGGGTGCATGGCGGGAGGGTGGCATGGAATGCAATGCAAGGCACTAGGCTGCACCATCCACTCTGCCTCTGCTGTTGTCTCCCCTGTGCGCGGGCGCCCAAAGCCCACACGGCGCGCACATGCATGTACGTTGTGGGGGCTGCACAGTGTGAGAAATGCATGTTGAAAGGGTGCATGCGAGGCAAGGCATAAGGGCCTATTATCGACTCTGCCTCTGCTGTTGTCTTTTCTGTGCTCGACGGAAAGTTTTGATTTTCCCACTGCTTATCCTTTTTCCGCTCACCTCCATCAACTCTCTTTGCTTGCCCACCCTTTCAGGCCATGCCTTGATGATGAGTCTCAGCCGCATGATTCGTTTGCTGGCCAACGAGTTCGGTCTTGCTGTACTGGTAAAAGCATTGCTGTCAATTTCCACATTTGGCACTTCCCTGTTTATTTTGGCACTTGTATTCAGGTGATCCTACCATCCACCTTAGTAACTTCCTGTTTGATAATTCTCGCAGCATGCTGGATCTACGACATGTAGGTCGACCGTTCATTGTCACTGTTGCCGTGTTTCCTCTCCCGCCTGCCCTCCTCTCTTCCCCTCGTTTTCCAATATCAGATCACCAACCATTCGGTGTCGAGTGAAGATGGAACATTCAAGCCGGCGTTGGGGGAGAGTTGGAAGGTAACACCACATGTGAGGCTCCGTCTTGGATCGAGATTACGACTCTGATTACTGCCAAATCACGCTTGCAAGGCATCCATCTCTTCCTGGTGGCGCATCCACGGTGGTGAAACTTGGGAAGTATGGCATTGTGCCAGCGGAGACTGGTGGATAAAATTTGAGTCTGGTTTGATATTCTTTAGAAGTTCCTCCAACAACTTGTTGTACATTTGTACAAAAGGAGCGTCCATTTTGGAACCGTCATTTCGTTATCGAAATCCGCAATACAAGAGATTCCTCTCGATAACATTCACCATCCTTCTGGCCCTTCGCGAAATCACACGCAGGCAGCCTCTCAAGTGCGCGCATCTGGCCGCAATTTCACTAGCGTCCGATTCTCCTCGATCGACGGCTAGGATGTTCCCGATCATATCCTGTGTTTTTCCTGCTGTATGTTCCCAAAGGCACTCGAAATCCGCGGCGTCCTTCCCCCAGTGAAGAATAAACCATCTGACTCAGACGATTTGCAAGTCTCTTGCGATTTTCACAGGAACTGATTCTAAAAGTCGATAAAGATTGGCTAGTTACAGAGATTAGCTCCTTGTAAAAGCCCCTCAATCGGTATCTGAGTCAACTCGTTCCTTCGTATCGCACAAACTTGGGCTATTTTTGCATTTGAAGCGGCATCTTCGCCGTTTTATGCGTGTATCTCCCAATGGCTGCCTGTCGCCTCCACGTGTCACTCCAATGCGGGTCATCTCAAGGACTTCACACCTCGCTGTCTGCGCCACGTCAGCCAGCTACGGCCGGCCAATGGGCGTCAACACCGTTCCATTCGTGGTCGACCTCGTTACAGTCAGCACCGAGAAGAGAATGCAGCGACGCGTTGTCGAGTTTTAACCGCCAGACACGATTTTCACGGCTGTCGGCTGCAGCGGCTTCTAGCGACGACGCCTCCTCACCCAGTACCGGCAGTGAAGCCGGCAACGAAGCCGACGCGCTGACGGCGGAGTTTCTGCGCTTCGTGTCGGAGACGCAGCAGCAGTGGCCGCTGGCGGACCGACACCCCACGGCGCTGCTTGCGCCCACCGCGGTGGTGCGCGCGCAGATGGACGCGCTCATGCGCAACGACTGGCCGGAGGCGGACAGCGGTATCCAGACGGCGTTCAACTTCGCCATGCCTCATAAAGTGGACGAGATCCTCCCTGGATCGGTGAGTTGTGATTGGACGAACGAGTCGTGACGCCTAGCAAAGGGGACAGAAGCTTACCCGGGTCAGAGAGATGTGATTGGACGAGTGAGTTGGAATGAGTTGGGAGCGGTTTAGATGAGAGTACGTTCAGATAGCATTCAACTTGGCAATGTCGCACGGAATGGGTGAGTTCTGCCTTCAAAACTCGAGGCGTGTGGGAACTCAATATAACGACCCTTCTCTTCCGAAGAGCCGAATTCTCATCCCCCTCCCCTCAACCACCCTTCCATCCCTCCAGACCCCGAAGAAAGCACAAGCATGCGATGTCAGCGCGAGCAGTACCTGTGTGTGGACTGGACGGCTTCAAGGCTCCTTGCAGTGCAGCTGAGCTTTAAGAGACCAAGCTACTCCCAGTCATCCTTCTCTCCCCCTCAACCACCCTCCCATCCCACCCCTCCAGGCCTGGCTTCCAGTGAAGGAGTTGAGGGCACGGGACGCCAGCGCATGTCTGAGAAAGGTTCTAAGGAGCTGTCTCATCCCCCTCAGTCCCTCCAGGCCCGGCCGCCAGTGAAGGAAGCACGAGCGTGGGACGCTAGCGAGCGGTACCTGTCCGTGGAGGGCTTTAAGAAGCTCCTTCGGGAACCGATGTATGCTGCCCTGCTGCACTGCGAATCGTGGGAGGTGAGAACTGGGGGGAAAGAGGGGAGAGCGGGGATGGAAGAGGGGAGAGGGGGGATGGAGGGGGGATGGAAGAAGGGAGAGGGGGCTGGCAGGCATGGCTTCAAGAAGCTGCTGCTGGAGCCCATGTACGCTGCGCTGCTGCACTGCAAGTCGTGGGAGGTGAGAGCCGATGCATGTGGTTTGACAAGTCCTGAAAGACCACGAGCCCATGCGTGCATGTTGGCCGTGCCTGTCTGTCTACCTTGACTCTAAGAAGCTGCTTCGGGAACCGATGTATGCTGCCCTGCTGCACTGCGAGTCGTGGGAGGTGAGAAACGAAGCAAGAGGGTTTTTGAGGCGCCTCAAAAATCGTGGGAGGTGAGAAACGAAGCAAGAGGGGATGGCGTGTGGGCTGTGTGCTTGAGTTTCAAAGCAAGGTGAGGGAGAAAAAGGGGTGGGAAATTGATTCTGGGCTGTGCCTTTGCTTTCAAGAAAAGGTGCGAGAGAAGGGAGCGCCCATGAGTGCGCCCAGGGAAGAGGATAGGGGGGCGGGCACTCAGCAGCCAAGTTGCAAATCTCTGGGTACAAAAGTGGGCAAAACGAACCACATTACATCCTTTTCCCGCTGTCATAACTTCCGTTCCGTGCCTTATCTGAACCAACCCGATTGCACGATGTCCTTTGGCACAATCTTGACTTAAAGCCCAAAGCCTGAGATGGAGAGTTGGGGAGGCAAACTGGGCCCAGTTTGCGTCTGCTCCTGGTCTCGGAAAAGAAGGGTTGAACAAAGTTTCCGAACCTCCCATGCTCTGCTTTCCCATACCTGTTTTCCCGCTTTGACCTCCGTTGAGCAATTCAGGTTCTTCCCTTTAAGAGATTCGTCCTTGCTATATTAAATCATGAATTTCTGCATGGCATGGCAGTTTGCATCCCCCATGGCGTTCCATGGCAAGGCCGATAGCAAGGCTCTGCAGACCGTGAAGGTCGGAGCAACACAAACCTCGCACCTTAGTTGCGGAAGACGCGTCTAGCGTCTTAGATGCGTTCGTCTAGACGCAGCGTTTAAGACGCTAGACGCTAGACAGTGTAGATTAGACGCAGTATTAGACGAAAACCCGGGCAGGCCTAAAAAATGTTCGGGCAGACCAAAAAAAGTTCTATGGGGCATGGGGAGGGTGGGGGACATGCACCTATGTCACAATGGGGTGAATTTTTCCCCGTACCATAATTTTTTCCCCATTCTTAGACTTCACAAAAATCTTCACATCTCATCATATATAATTAGGTTTCCATGTCTCTCTAGTAGTAGCAAGCTCGAAGAACATTACTACTACTACATCTCTCTCCTATCACTACGCCTCCTAAACGCGGTGGAAGTAGCTAAACCCTAAGGCTTTTCGAAAGAGATTTGGAAGAAATGAAGGTAGGGGAGCACAAATGAGGGATTTGTGCTCCCCAACCTCTTGGTGGTTAGCCATAGAGGTTGGGTTTTCTAGATACCAAGCGGTGAAGTGTGGTTTGTGTTCAATTTTGGTTGGGGGGGATTCAAATTTGCTTGGGGGGCTGGTTTTTGTGCTCGAAATGGGTGGGAAGGGGTTCTAATGGCGCGAAATTGAATTTCGCGTCGAAATGGCGAATTTCAATTTCCCGCGCGCGATTTTTGTTTTTTCGGGCTGCCCGAAAAAAATTCGCCCAAGCGTCTTGCGTCTAGCGTCTAGACGCCGCGTCTAGCCGCTAGACGCAAGACGCGTCGAGCGTCTTCCGCAACTAAGCCTCGCACACGGCTCATATATGCTATTCATGTGCTTCCATTCACTGCTCCCATGCTTCCTTCACCATCTCGCTGCACGCCAGTTCGCATCACCCATGGCGTTCCATGGCAAGGCGGACAGCAAGGCACTGCAGGCAGTGAAGGTTCGCTCTTCAGTCTGCAGGCAGTGAAGGTTCGCGCTTCAGTCTGCAGGCAGTGAAGTCTCGCACTCTGCTCATATGCACTTCTCCTCTGCGCCCTCCTTGCCTCCGGACTGCATGGCAGTTCGCGTCCCCCATGGCGTTCCATGGCAAGGCGGACAGCAAGGCAGTGCAGGCGGTGAAGGTTCGTGCTGCCCCCACTGCCACCGTCACTCCTTCGTCATCCTCCGCAGCTACTGCTGTAGAAGCTGCTATGGATGGTGGTGCTGCGGATGGTGGCGCGGAGTTGCTTGGGCGGACACGAGAGTACACCTACACATTCTGCTTGCAGAAGGTGGGCTGTTGGGGCGATACAATGGTGTGAAATTAGATTTGAGGGCTCGTGTGTTTGATGGTGCACCTGAGTGTGTCAAGTCTCTTTTTGTGCTGCTTGCTTCCTTTCCCTCTCCTCTCCCTGCTGTCATCCCCTCTCCCCTATCACAAACACACATATGCCGACACACAGGCACGAGCATGCACACGCACATGCACACACACATCAGTGCAAGATGCTTTTGCATGCCATTTGTCATGCTCTGCGTCCCATGCTTGTGTGGCAGGTATTGGAGGGAGCGTTCAAGGGATGCTGGATGGTGGTGGGCCTTCGCGTTGGTGACTACGCCAACGTATGATCTGCAGAGTAACTTCTGCTCTTACCGTTACATGATGTGAAACACTTATTTCTAAGTTTGATACGGTACGACTAAATCTGTCAGTCCTATTTTACAGTGCTGTTAGTATTTATTAGGAAGGTGTAACGGGCGGGGCTTTAGTCAATGTTGTGATGGAGAATCACCACAGGCACCCAATCAGAGCATGGCCATGGGTCACATTTGGCTGTAGAGGTGTATGTATGGTTGACTTGGCTGAGCAGCTGAAGCATTTCGTGCCGCGCACTATGATTGCTGCACTTATTACCGTATGAGCATTTATTCTCACCTGGGAACAAGTTAGCACACCAAGATGGCACTGGGACAGGGTTTCCATAATAAAACACACCCCCCACACATAACATGGTTTGGCGGAGGGGAGGATCTTCCCCTAGCATGGCCGTGCAGTATCTGTACACACTAAGGCACAAACTAAACACACACTCTCACAATCAAACACACGGCTAAACTTGCCTAGCTGGGCACTGCTACACCAGCTGGCATAAGGCCAGCTTCTCTCTTGCAGGCACTTCCTGTCTAACCATGAAAGCAGTCAGTGTCCTAAGAGAGGGCACTGAGCTGCTGCCACTGGGAAGTTATTCACTTGGGAGGAGATCAGCGCAGGAAGACGGCGGCAAGCCAGAGGTTGATAATGGAGAATTCACTAATGAGGACGGCAGGGGAGCCGATGCCGAGAAGGGGGAAGATGTCAACCCGCAACCAGGCCTGCACCAGACTGCCCACCAGTGCTCCCAGCACGAGCCCCCCTGTTGACAGCCCTGCTGCCTTGCCTGCCAATGGCGAGGGAGAGAAGGAGAGACACGAGGGAGGTCGAAAGGGAACTTAGGGGGAAAGATGTCGGCCCGCACCCAGGCGTGCACCAGACAGCCCACCAGTGCTCCCAGCACGAGAGGAGAGAAAGCGATGGAATGGGCCTGAGATACTGAGAAGCCATGCCTGCAACAGGGTGTCCCACCACTTTGCTGCTGCTGCTGGCAGCCTTGCTGTGAACAGCCGAGCTGCTGCGACTGGAGAGACAGAGACACACCCCAAGCACAAGAATGCGCCATACAAGCACGGATGCAGGAGAGAGAGGGACAAGGATTGATGAGCGACGTAGGGAGGAGAGATGGTGGGGGAGAGAGGTGGGGAGGAGACATTTGGGGTGGGGGGGGGAGAGAGGTGGGGGAGGAGAGAGGTGGGGGAAGAGAGAGAGGTGGGGGAGGAGAGAGGTGGGGAGGAGGGGAGAGAGAGGTGGGGGGGAAAGAGAGGAGTATGGGAGGAAAGAAAGGCAAAGTTGAAGTGAGTGTGTTTGCCTTCACATTGACTCCACACACTCATCCGCTCCCCCACCGTTATCCCCATCCTCCCACCCAGCAAATCGTTCCCACACTCATTCATCCCCACGCACTTCGCCTCACACTCATCCACACACGCAAGCACACATTCGTTTCGCCTTGCTCATCCACACACACACAAGCTCACACTCACTCCATTTTCACCCTCATCCACACACACAAACCTTTTCAAACCCACTCACCCATCCCCACGCCTTCCTTCCGCAGCGAGTACAGCGCCCACCCAAACGCCAGCGCGAGCTGCAGCCCCGGCACATCCCCTCCCGTCGCCGCCGGTCCGTACAACGACCCGCCCAGATCCGACCCCGACGACAATCCCGAGGCGTACGTCCAGATGAGCAGCGACGCGAACACGGCGGATTGCACGGCGAGCGCCTGGCTGCCGCTGCTGGTGCTGGTGTTGGGCGTGGTGATGGCGACCGGGGAGGATTTGAGAGCCTTTTGGAGCCAGGAAGGAGGGGCGGGCGGGCGGGGTTTCTGTACGTCCGCAAAGCGCACGCTGCTGTCGACGACTTCGCCGGAACGGCGCCGGGAGAGGGACTGCATGAGGAGTATGTCGTACGCTGCTTCGACCTGTGGGAGTGAGGGAGCAGGAGAGAGGGAAGAAGCCGAGGAGAGTGAAGTCATAGAATCGCACCCTGCTGTCGACCACCTCTACGGAGCGACGGCGAGAGAGGGACTGCATGAGGAGAATGTCGTACGCTGTTGCTTCGACCTGCGGGAAAGAAAGGAGAAGGCGACGCGGGCGACAACAATGGAACGAGTTGTATTTTTTTTCATTTTCGGTACTACACGAACTGCCATGTGTTGAACGCAATGTTTTGAATTAAATTTAACATCAGTGCATTAAACAGCATAGTGTGCGTTAACTACATGAATGTGGTTCCCAAGTTTGTCCTACCCCTCCAATCGTTTAGCTCCTTAACGATATGCTGGTAGATTGAACGGGAACCATGACCGTATTTACAAGAGTCAACTGGAACATCTCCTTGTCACAGACAAGGTGTTCCTCCCTCAAGTCCTCATTTTCCGCCTCAATCTCCGCAGATACAATTGAATTCTCAAAACCACAATTTCTCCCAGACTCTTACATGAGGTGTTTGCGCTTCGTACGAAAGCGTTCATGAGTTTACAAAAAAAAAAGGAGCAAATCATACCCGCGAAAGAGGCCTCGTACCTGTTGGTATTAGCGCTTTGTGAAAACAGAAATATTTAAGACTAGGCGCTTACCCTCAAAAGAAGTTCCTGATCGGCGGTGCCTGGGTCTGTAATTCTCTTCTTCGCTCGCAGGATGTCGTCGAACGTCGCTCCCTCCCGCACCCCAAGCAGGTCCAGCGCGTTCTGGTACGTCATCTCCGACGGTGGTAGGTCGTCCTGCTGCTTCGCCTGCACTCGCACACATCGCCGTGCGAACTTTCGCGAAGACGGTCTAGCGAAATTGGCGGGTTGGAAGGGCCTTGTCGCGAGGTTTGCGCTGTGGATGGAGAGCGCTCCGAACCGTAGAGCTTGCGCCATGGCTACCACTGACGTGAGATGCTATAAGGCGATGAACGAATTTCCAACAATTGTGTACGGCTAGAAGGAGAAATTTTCGGGACTTCAGATTAGTGCATTCACGTCCGCCTGTGGGGTGGTTCTAGAAGCAATATGCCTGACTTCCAGGGCTCTAGGTCTCAGTGACAAAATGGAAATGGAAATGGACGGAGAATGGAGAGAAATGAATGATGTAAAGAAGCGTGGAAAAGGAGCAGGAAGAGGGTGAGGGGGAAGTGAGGAGGCAGTAGGAAAGAAGGCGGAACAGCATTTGAAAGATCTAGATGCGAGCTGCAAGACACCCAAATTTTTTAGTCCACAAGGACTGCGAAAGTGGAGCGTTCAGAAGCTGGAAAGAAACCTCGATTCCTTAAACTTCACTAGATTGTGATGAAATCACAGGTAGTACCCGTTTGGATGCTCGGCGTACAGGGTATACAAACATCATAGTAGATAACCACCCTGATTTTAATGGATTATCTGTTCAATGACGTGGCATCACAAGTATTGTTTCGCCAGATATTGGTCTGTGATTGGTGACTGTACCGTCGTGGTTCATGCTTGGTGATTGGATGTAGCAAGGCGCGAACCCCTCACCTGACGAGGATAACCAATGAGTAACATGACACGCCCGATGAATTGGGACAGAGGAGGATTTGTGGCAGCCATGCGAGGCTGCATCTGGCCAATCCAGGTGTTCTGTTTCTAGATCTTATACCGAATTCACCAGTTTCAGAAAGGCAAAGTGTATCTTACATACAAGATGGTAAACAAAAGTCAGTCCGCCAGGACCTGTTTCACAATTTGAACACTAGGGACCCACCATGTTACAACACGTCTCACTGCACACGCCCTCACTGAACAATCTGATTCCACACTGTAAACTACCACTTATTTAGGTATGTAGGCTCGGTTTCTCTCCCCCTGATCCGCCATATCAGCCTGCTTCTTGTAGCCTGCTTTATTCCGCAATCCCAGCGGCATGGCGGCTTCGTTGCTCCACAATCTGTCATCGCATTGTGTCCGCGTCTCGCCAGCGCGTGACGCGAGCCGTCTGTCGTCCAAGCAGAACAACCAGGTACCACTAGAGACACCGACAATCTAGAACACGCTTGCGAGCACCATCGCATTCGTGAATCCAATCCGCTTCTTCCGCTGCATCTGGTCCCGGTCCTCTCCTTCCCATCCCGTCGCTCCTTTTCGCCTTCTTCGCATTCTCCTTTCTGTACGCCTCACCTCGCTTTGTGCTTCGCCGTTCCCTTTGGCCACGTGTCGCCGTGTCTCTGACCCCCGTCTCCACGCGATCACCCGTCGAGCAGCCTCGTTTCTTTCCCCGCGGTGCTTGGTCTGCTCGGCGACCCCTTAACAACTCTATTGTCAGGTCAGGTTGCTAGAATTGTCAGAGCCTATAAGATCCGTGGTCGCTAACATCCCCGACCACCAATTCAGACAGAATCAGAAGTATTGACACCGAATACTTATTCACGAAGGCGTCTTTAACGGATCTGAACTTCCTTCTGACCTTCCCCTACGCTCGCCTGAAATGACCTCCAGATCTTTCCCGCTTGTTGTAGTTTTGTTTCTTTTATATTTTAATCTTGAGAATCACTTTAACTTCAACCATTGCATCCCATCTGTCTTGGGGGGCATTTCCCCTGGAACATCCTTCCATCCTCTTCGGCAATTACCCCCTCACGCCATCAACCCCCACATCGCTTCAAACTCTAAATTCCCTTTCATTCCTCAATCTTTCATCCAACCAATCAGCGCCATTTCCGCATCATCGTCATCCTCGTCAGCGCAGCAGGCAGCAGTCCCGGCGGGCACGGGGGAGGGGTCAAGGCTTGGGGGACAATGGCAAATAGGTGGCAGCCCTTTCGTCGAGATGATCGAGAAGGGTGGACGGACATGGACCAAAGAAGAAGTGAGTGAGTGAGTGAGTGAGTGATGGAAAGGAGAGTGAACTGAAAAAGAGGCTGCAACGTGCGTGAGCAGTGAAAGGAGGCCTGCTTTGAGAGCTTGTAAAACACTTCCATCCTGTGCCATCCTATACCATCCCACTCGATCCCACACCTCCCCTCCTCCCTGCGTCCGTCTCTGCCACCAGAGATGAGTCAATGAGGCGCCTAAGAAATCATCCGGTCTCTCCTGTGTCAATCCCTGCCACCAGTTGTACGAGGACTATTTGAAGCTGAGAGTTGGGGTGAATGCGTCTCTCGTGGCCCTCTCACAAACGGACCACTCTCACTCACACATGTGCCACGCTTATGACAACAGGTGAGGTGGGTGGGTGGGGGCTGTGGGCTGGCTGGCATGGCTTCAGTTGCTGCTTCTGGTTTCTGGTTCCCCAACCAGCCAGCCAGCAAACACTGATTCAGTTGCTCTGTGGCGATGGGTCGTGTCTCACTGTCACTCAATCGATCCTTCGCCCGTTTCGTCCAACCCGTTTGTTTTCTCCAACACTCTTCGTGATACCCCCCTCCTCCTTCAACCCCCCACCTTCCCACACCCTGCATTCCCCCCTTTTCCCCCTAAACGGTCACCCAAACCAACCTAGCAGTGTCACAGATGCATCAGCGCCATCATTTCCGCATCTGGAATACATCTATAAAAGCCTGAACGAGGTGAGTGAGGTGGTGGGTGGCAGCAGGTCACTTGGGGGACGGAGGTCAGTTAGTTGAGTTGAGGGATGGGCAAAAGTCAAGCTTGAACATGTCTGACTCCAACAGTTTTGAACGCCCTAAAATGTCGAACCAAACACACTCGGTTCAAGTCAAACATTTTTTGAAAGACGGATGTTCGAAGTTTGGGTACAAAGGTCGAAGAATGTACTGTTCGATCCGAACGTGACGATGTTCGAGTTTGATTTGAACACATTCTTCGTTTTAAAAAACGAAGGTGAGTGGGAGTGTCATGGCGTGCATATATAGCGCGGTGTCACGCATATACGTGCCGGAATAGAGCTATGACTCAAAGCGTGTGATGTGTGTATATAATATATGTGCATAAATATTTATCTGTAGATATACATATGTATATATACATGGTGGTAGTATACTAGTAGCTGTGAAGCTCCTCCAATCCGGTTAGCTATTTATCATATGCAACTGGTTCTCAGCAGGCTTTTTAGCACCATAGGTAGGAAGGAGGAACTGGGGGAGGTTGGGGAGTTTGCGGGAGGGTCAGGTGGGCAGGACACACTATGTATAGTTGCCTATTGTAAGTGAGGAAGCAACCCATGCACACAGCAGCAGGACACTTGTTATCAACGGCGAGAGTGAGTTATTAAGTAACCCTGAACACGCTCGTATCAATTGATGGTTCATCTGTGCCTCTGTGACTGTCACATGCTTTCCTCCCACATGTTCGCCTCCCACACTTGTCCTCCGTGTGTGAGTGGAGTGGGGTGGAGTGCATCCACCAGATGGACCAAGAGGTGATTCTGGAACTAAAGACCGTCCTGGATATGACCATAGAGATTTTTTCCCTCACCAAGTCTGCTGAGCCTGACGACAACCTGCAAGTCTGGTGAGCTGGCAGCAGCAGCAGCAGCAGCAGTTGTCGTTTCCTGTTTCTCTTCCAACAATGTCTAGTGCTTGGTTGACGAAACTGCGAAAAAAGCCCATATCGTGCTTTGATTAGAAAGATCATGAGTACATATAGGAGATGAAGGTGGGGGAACTAGATTGGGTACCTGTGACATTATTGTTGAGCCAATGGAAGTGTTCGCCAATAGTTGACAGCTAATTAGTGGGAAAGGGTAATAATGGTTAGAGTAAACCAACCAGTTTGGGTTTGGTCCCACCTGTCAATTGTGGTCGAGTGAGATTGGGTTGGGCCGCGCCCAACCAAATTTTGGTTGGGGAGTCTTGGCTCAAAGTGAACACGCATGTTTGGTTGTGTGTTACACTTGCACATTGACAACCCAACTGATGTTATAATCTAACAGGTATAACGGTAGGAAGGACAGGACAGTGGGAGGATGGTAGGACATAAGAGGTTGTAGTACACTGTTCACAACCAAACCAGATGCAGCATACCATTATGCAGCAACTCTAAACCCGAAACCATACATGGGGAAGCCCTTCTTTCCACTCATTATGCCCTCCCCCTCGCCTTGTCACCTCTTGCCCTCCCATCCCCTTCCATCCCTCCACTCCCCTTATGAAACTCATGTTCTTGTCATGTCCCTCTCTCTTTTCCTCCCCACTTTTCTCTTTCCCCGCTCCCAGCCTCCCCCCTCCCCCCTCCCGCCTCCCCCCTCCCTCTGCCCGACCCTCTCCACAACACATGCAAATGCCAGCTCACAGCCTCAACAAGCCACTGCAGGAGGAGTATCACAAAAGATAGGCTGTTCAAACGACCCGCCCGTTACCTACTCCCCTCCCCTCCCCCCTTTTGCCTGCTCCCTTTCTCCACACCACACGTGCAAATGCACTTACACAGGCTTAAAAAGGCGCTGCAGGAGTATTAGAGAAGGCGGGCCCAGGGAATACCAGCAGACCCGGCCACCTTCCACGCCCTCCTTTCCTTGTCCGCACAAGCGGATCACAAGGTTACTTTGGAGCTATTTGTGCTGATGCTGAAGGAGGGAGTTGAGCTTGACGATGTCGCCATTCGGCTTCTGTGCTTATCGGCTTGCCTCGCTGGGGATATAAATTCTGTCTATCAGGTACAGAGAAGATGCGAGTTGGTTCCAAGCGGTTTTCACTTCATTGCGTATGGTGCATTTGCGCTAATAGCCGATGGTGGTTACACCGGTTTTGTTCTATGTTGCATCTTGGGGGAAGGAAAGGAAGCTGTTTTTATGTACCAGCACTGTTACCATGGTATGGCATGCGTGTGTTACCTCTCATCTCATGTGTCAGCAGCATTGCTTATTTGCGTTTGACATCTCCGTGCGCTCCGTCCTAAGCCATTGCTTCTTTCCTTGATATCGATGGATGGATGGCTGCCTTTTTTTAGTCGACTCAAATAATTGGCTGCCTTTCTCAGATGATTGGTTGGGATCAAGAGGAAGACTTCTTTGCCATCGCCATTCGCTTCTACAACCATGCGATTGTTCAATCCGCTAGTGGATCACAACCGGATGTGAGTCGTCACACATCTCCCTCCCACTCCCCTCCCCACTTCTCCCTCCCTCGCTTTCCCCATTCCCACCCTCCCTATAATCCTCCTCCAATTCCCCAGCTCCCTTGTTTTCCATCTCAAAGAGTTCATTCCATTCATACGGCGATAAGAATTAAGATACTTTGATTGAGTGTGTGTTATGCAGCATCTGCTATGGCAAGGCAGTTTCAAGGCAGTTACTGACGTAACAAGGCATTTCCACCCTACCCTGCCTTGCCCTGCCCTGCCCTATCATACCCTGTCTTACCCTCTCCATCAACCATGTCTTCCCTCCCCTCCCTCCCTTCCTCCCTCCCTCCCTCCCTCCCTCCCTCCCTCCCTCCCTCCCTCCCTCCCTCCCTCCCTCCCTCCCTCCCTCCCTCACTTGTTCTACTCCCCTTTGGCCCTCCCTGCTTCTTCCTCAACTATGGAGCTTGATCTGTTTCTTAAAATTCCTCTGGTGTTGTCCCCGTTGGCCCTCTCTTTCCCGTTGACCGTGCAGCTTGATCTAATTTGGCGCATCTACCAAGGGCTGGAAGCGGACAAGAATGCGGCGTCACCTTGCGATCCACCTTGGCTAGATCCGCCTGGGGAGGGTATGTGTGAGGAGGGGGTTTGAAGGAAGGGAGAAGAGGAGCAATGCAAAGCCATGATGTCACCCTGCGGACCACTTAGATCCGCCTGGGGACGGGACGAGAGGGGATGGGTGGGAGGGGGGTTGGGAAGAAGGGGGGAGAGGAGCAATGCAAAGCCATGGCGTCATCATGCGGTCTGTCTGGATCCCAACCACTACACCACTGGATAAAATAGCTTGTTAAGCAGCGAATGAGTGTGCCCATAACCCCCTAGGCAAGCATGCCTATAACCTTTTCCTAGAATAAATCGGGGATCCTCAGTGCAAGTCTTATGACACCCCCTTCACTGGGATGCCTAAGGACACAACACAGTAGCAGCGACACATGGGCGCCAGTATGTGCGCATATGTGGATTCGAACCCGATATCTTCGCTATGGTACCATGTCAGGATCCTAACAACTATACCACTTGGATAAAATGACTTATTGTTAAGTAGCATGTGAATGTGCCATAACCCCCCAAGGTAGGTGTGCCTGTAACTCTTCCTTATGATCAATCGGTATCCCCAGTGGAGGTCTTCTGACATGGTCCACCTTGTCTAGATCCAACTTTTGAGACGCCTCAAAAGTCGCCGCAAAGCCACGGCGTCACCCTTCGGTCCACCTTGCGATACATAGCCCTCAAAACAAAGAAATGTATCGCCGCACTCCCAGCACGGCCACACTCCTGGCATGGCCACACTCATGGCATGCCCTGCCCGCCCAGCATCGCGTCCACGGTCACCCACCCACCCAGGGAGACAGACATGTTGGGTGTAAAAACTGACGACAAACACAGGGAGACTCGCACAGGGAGACTCGCAGCAAACCTGGAGCCACTTGTACTGCGCAGACCCTTGGGAGTAGTCCGAATAACACGACAGCATCACCCAATGAATGCTGCCGCTATCAAACAAATAGTAGAGGTTCGAAGGTGACCCGCTGGCAGCAGCAGGCATGGGCCAGCGAAGGTTGTACACCTTGAAGGGGTTCAGCCTCGGCGTGCCCTCATCAGCCTCGTCCTCGTGGTTCCCCGGACCTGTCATCCAGGGTCGGAGGGACGCCGCCGGCTGGATGAGGGACTGAAACTTGTCCCAATCTGGTTGGTAGCCGTTGGCATAGGAAAGGTCCCCTAGGAAGACCACGAGGGAGTGGGGCGTGCGGGAGAGGCGCGAGATGGTGGCGGCTGCTGTTGGCTTGCAGCCCATATCGGCTGGTGAGGGGAAGGGGGGGGGAGTAAGGGAGGGGAAGGGGAGTGTTGGTGTGCAAAGGGGAGACCACGAGGGCGTGGGGCGTGCGGGAGAAGCGCGCGATGGTGGCGGCTGCCGGTGGCTTGCAGCCCATGTCCGCTGGTGGGGGGAATTGGGGGGAAGGGCGGGAAGGGAAGGGGGGAGGACAAGGGCTTGGGGCGCGAGATGGTGGCGGCTACTGGTGGCTTGCAGCCCATGTCAGCTGGTGGGGGGGGGGGAGGGGGTAGAGGGGGAGGGGAATTTTGAGTCGACCAATAAGCCACCCGGCGGCTGCTGCTGGCTCGGAGCCCATATTGGCTGGTGGTGGGTGGGGGAGAGGAAGGGGAAGGGGGGGGGAGGAGAAGCGGGACAAGAGTTAAAGGAAGGGGAGTGCTTGTGTGTAGAGGAAAGATTGGGGCGTGCAGGAGAGGCGCGTGATGGTGGTGGCGGCTGCTGTTGCTGCTGTGTCCATGTCGACCAATGTGGATCTATGTGGACATGGACGCGTCCAGCGTCCTATACGCCAGCGTCCAGATGCTGGCGTATATATGCTGGACGCTCGGATGTCAGGACCTGGACGCTTGGGCCGGGCAGGGGAAAAAAAATTCCGGGCAGGGGGAAAAAAAAGAGGGGGGAGAGGGGGGAAAGGGGGGTACCCGCCACAACACCATACATTTCCAGAGAAAATGTCATTAAAAAAAAAAAAAAAAAAACAGATTTATCCAAATAAATATTTCTACACACACACTTTCGGCCATCTACTGATACTCATCCGCAAACACCTTCCTATCCGCCTCATCCTCCCCCTCCTCTTCGTCTTCACCCTCCTCAGGTACGTTGTAACCCTCTGGGATCGGGGCTTCAGGGATGTTCCCTGACACGATTGCACTGCCCGCGGCCGAATCCCTGCTCCATTTCCGCACCACATTCCAGTTGTGGGCTACATAGACCAGGTCGCGACATTTCTCAGAACCCAGCCTGTTGCGCCGCGCCGTGTGCACGGAATCCCAGGTGGACCAGCCCCGCTCGCAAGGGGATGCGGAAACGGGTTGGGCAAGCACACGACGCGCCAGTGTCGGGAGAGCCACGTTATCGGTTCCGTTCCAAGCCCACCACATCTCCATGTCCATCTTCCCCTCCTTCACCTTTGCCCGATGTGCCTTTGCCAGGGGCATCCCAAAGCTCCCCACACCATCCACATATGCCATCAGACCCTCTATGATTGTATCCGCCCCCTCCTCCCCAGCAACATCCAAGAACTCAACCGCGCCCCCCATCCAGCCCTTCATGACCCGAGTGCACTCTGCATCCTTCCCGAATATTCCCTCAGTTTGGTTGGCCGGATTTAGAATCCGACCAGCCACGTGGAGCGCGCATGCGAGGCTCCCATCCCATCGTTCCTTCACAATGCGGGCAATATCCTTCTTGTCCTTTTGGCTCAACTGCTTTTCATCCTCTTCCAGGACCTTGTTAATGTCCTCGGTCAGCTGCAGCATAAGATCATAAATACGGCCCATCATCCCCTTCTTCGCGGAGTCCGTCTGTGACATCACCAAAAAGGGCAGCTTCATCAATTTGCAAAAGAATTCGGCGGTTGTCCACCACGCCGGATCAAGGACATACCCTTTGAACACATCCGCACTCTCCTTCACCTTCCCCACTGCCCATTCCTCCCACACATCGTCACAGACCATCGTCGTCAGGTTTGCGCGCAACTCACACAAGCGGGACACGGAAATGTAATGTGTCCCGAAACGAGTGCCAGCAGGTTTCAATGCCTGCAGCCCCTTCCCACCATGGTTTGCCGGGTTCCTCAAGAAGGCCCGCGTCATGTGATGGTTGCGGATAAACGTGTTCATCTTATCCGTCCTCTCCACCACCGTCTTAGCCCATGTGAGCTTCCCGAAGTCTTCCATCATCAAATCGAGGACGTGAGTGGCGCACGGCACATGCTCGATGTGCGGCCATTCCTCCAGCAACTTGCGGCCAGCCTTGGCGTAGTTGCTCCCACCGTCAGTGCAGAACGCCACGACATTGTTTGGCCCAACCTTCTCCACCACCGGTTTCAGCATGCCTGCAATGTAAGTCCCCGTTTTCTTCTGCATGTCGCAATCGACGCTCTCAAGGAAGACCGCGCCAAAGTCGTTGATGAACATTATGTTCGCTTGCGCCCGGCCTGCCACATCGGTCATCATGTCACTAGCTATAGTGACGCCAAGTCGCTTCCAGCTGTCTTCCACTGGAGACAACGCACCCTCAATCATCTTCCGGCAGCTCTGCAGTCCAGCCCCCCCCACGTAGCGCCTCTTGGGTGGCACGTAGTTGATTCTAGCGGCGGCTATGGACTGCACCATGTGGCGAAACAGCGGGTGCTCCACGGTGCGCTCCGGGATGCGGAGAGCGGCGACGCAAAGGCAAACAGACTCATCAGCCGCGGCCTTCTTCTCAGCAGCATCGTCGCCATAGAAGTCCGTAAGCGTCCGCTTCACTACATGCCGCCCAGTCACCGATTCAACAGCGATATTCTCAGCCCGCGCCTTGTCGTCCCGCGCGTTAGTTTTCGTGATGGCCGCATTGCTTATTGCGTCGGCGACCTCCTTAGGAACGGCAGTGCAGAGCTTCACTACGCGTCGTCCCTGGCCCGGCCACTCCGCAAGGTGACTAGCCCAACGGCTATGGCTGTGGGCGAAAGTGTGCTCGCAGAATCGGCACTCCACTTGCTTTCCCTTGACGCCCGCCTTCGTAAATGTGCGATAGTGTTTAAACGTAGGGTGCTTAACTTCATCATCTTCATACACACGACCAACGCTAAATGAGCCCTGCACGGACTGTGAGTTGGGAGCGCCAGCAGCATTTGAGGTACTAGGTTCCGCCATGGATGCCTGCTGGAGAAGGTGAGAAATGCTAGAAATGAACGCAATTGTGAGGAAGGAATTGTGATGCTCGACTATTTAGGAACGTGACGGGGGGGTTGGGCTGGCTAGATAAGAAGGGGTGAAGTGCGGTGGCCTCTGAAATTGTGATGGATCTGGTTCAGTTTTGGCGCTTGAGATCCAGCTCTGAAATCGCGATTTCAAATTTCGATTTGAAATCGCGATTTCAAATTTCGACGGTCAATTTTTCTTCCCGGGCTGCCCCAAAAATTTTTGGCCGAGCGTCCAGCGTCCGACGAGCGTCTAGCGTCCAGCGTACGGACGCTAGCGCATATACGCTGGACGCTCGCTGTCCAGAGCGTATATGCCCACATAGGTGTGGATGGGGGGTAAGGGAGGGAGGGTGGGGTTGGTGGTAGCTGCTGCTGGTGCTTCTGCTGCCGCTGCTGCTGCTGCTGCTGCTGCTGCTGCTGCTGCTGCTGCTGTGTCCATGTCAACCAGCATGCATGGGGTGAAGGAAAGGGAGGAGATGGCGGGAGAAGGGGGGGAAGAATGGGAAAGAGTGAGGGGCGCAAGAGAGGCGCATGATGGTGGTGGCGGCTGCCTGTTGCTGCTGCTGGGTCCATGTCGACCAGCATGCATGGGGTGAAGGAAATGGAGGAGATGGTGGGAGAAGGGGGGGAAGAATGGGAAAGAGTGAGGGGCGGAAGAGAGGCGCGTGATGGTGGTGGCGGCTGCCTGTTGCTGCTGCTGGGCCCATGTCGACTAGCATGCATGGGGTGAAGGAAAGGGAGATCACCTTGGCTACTCGCGAAGCTCCTCGTCGCCGCCACCCTGAAGGTACGAATCAAGCCTTTCCCCGCTTGCAGGTGCTGCACCTTCCCGAACCTCTTTCCTCCCAGTTTCTTTCCTGCCCACACCTTCAAGTTCAACCTCCTCATCGCCGCCACCCTGAAGGTACGAATCAAGCCTTCCCCCGCTTGCAGGTGCTGTGCCTTCCCACCCCTCTCCTCTCCCAATTTCCCTCCTGCTAAGTCCTTCAACCTCCGCATGTTGTTTGCTCCCCCCCCACTGCTGCTGCTGTTTGCACATTCCCCTCCCTTACTGCGTTACTGCTTACCACGTGCCCTCCCTCACCGCCTTACCCGTTGCAGGCAGGGGATCAAGAGGGGGCGTTGCGAGCATACAAGCTGATGTCGGCAAACGGGTTTGCACGCGACTTGAATCCGCCTTTTTGGAACAAGCTCATCCTCACCGTGGCTGCCGTGCCCTCCGCCCCTGCCTACGTGGCCTATGGGGTGAGCATGAGGGCTTGGTTGAGCAGGACGGGTGTCAATTTGTCAAAACAAGTATACATTTCCCAGCTTTTTGCAAATACAAGTACGCAAGTAAGGGTGGAACATTGGATATGTTTTCATCTTAGAGGAGTGAGTAATAGTGATTCTCATAAACATTGCGGTTGTTCTTTCTTTTTCTATGGAACTATTTTTCAAGAGGGAAATTGGCCTTGGGGCTTCCAGCCAGATATGCAAGCTTGGTTCGTTTAAATTGTTTATTTTCCTTCCACCTTGTCTTCATCCTTCTCATCGAAATTGTTGTGCCCTCCCCCTCCCTTTCGGTCCCGCAGTGCTATGATGCTATGCAAACCGGGGTCCCAAGCCGGACTCAGAAACGTACCTGGGCTAATGGCAATGTGTGCCAGGGATGGTGATGCAGCACCCCTCAGTCACCAACCCCTCTTCTCCCCCCCACCCGCAACACTTTTATGCTCCCACAGTGTTATGATGCATTGCAAACATGGGGACCCAAGCCGGACCTAGACACCTACCTGGGGCTTATGGCTGTGTGTGCCAGGGATGGCGATGCAGCCCGGGCGATGGCACTGAGGAGGGAGATGAAGGATGGTGGAGTGGAGGTGACGGGAGAAGTGCTTCGTGCGCTCATTTCTATGCAACGCGAGGGGGGGATGTGGGAGGCTGCTGTGGAAAGCTTCAGAGAGATGCAAAGCAAGGCGGTGCTTTTGACCGATGTATGTGAGCATTGATTGATGCGTGTTTTGAGGCGCCTCAAATGTATGTGAGCATTGATTGATGCGTGTTTTGAGGCGCCTCAAATGTATGTGAGCATTGAGTGATGCGTGCGTGTATGCCATATGCTGCTAATTTGTTAGAGGTAGCTGCTGCATGCTTGTGAGTGGTCTTCTCAGCCCTGAAGGAATCTGCAGGGGTGCTTTCGCCTGTCGTTGCTGGGCGGGGCTATTTAAATCTGATTATAATGTCAAACTTATATCTGCTATGGTCTATTTAGGCTGTAGTGGGGTAGCTCTTAGAGGGTACAACACTTATGTGTTTCCTATTTGTACCCATCTCATTCCTAGTTTATCCATTCTTTCATCTATCATTCTCACATGGTATAGAGCTAGTTTCGAGAATTTTTAAAAAGGGCCCACCACTGAAATTCTTCACTGCCTGCTAAACGCGCGCGTCGCGCCTTCCCTTCGAGGCCCATCGCGGCCCCTGCGCCTGCCCTTAGAGCCAGCGCCTGCCCCGTTAGGCCCCGTAAGGCACCTTAAGGCCCCATTCACGGCCCCGTTTAAGGCCCCGTAAGGCCCCGTAAGGTCCCGTAAGGCCCCGTAAGGCCCCTTTTACGGCCCCGTTTAAGGCCCCGTAAGGCCCCGTAAGGCCCCGTAAGGCCCCTTAAGGCCCCGTAGGGCCCCGTTTACGGCCCCGTAAGGCCCCGTTTAAGGCCCCGTAAGGCCCCGTTTAAGGCCCCGTAAGGCCCCGTTTACGGCCCCGTACGGCCCCGTTTAAGGCCCCGTAAGGCCCCGTTTAAGGCCCCGTAAGGCCCCGTAAGGCCCCGTAAGGCCCCTTAAGGCCCCGTAAGGCCCCGTATGGCCCCGTTTAAGGCCCACTAAGGCCCCGTCAGGCCCCGTAAGGCCCCGTCAGGCCCCGTTTAAGGCCCCGTAAGGCCCCGTCAGGCCCCTTCAGGCCCCGTTTAAGGCCCCGTTCGGCCCCATAAGGCCCCGTAAGGCCTCGTTAGAGGCCCCGTACGGCCCCGTCAGGCCCCGTTAGTGGCCCCGTCAGGCCCCGTTAGGCCCCGTCCGGCCCTGCCCCGGCCCTACCCCAACCTGTCGCGGCCCTGCGCCGGCTCTGCTGCGGCCCTGTTGCAGCCCTGCCCCGGCCCTCGCCCCGACCCTGTCTAGGCCCGGCCCGACCCTGTCCCGGCCCTGCTCCGACCCTGCCCCGGACCTGCCCAGGCCCTGCCCCTGCCCTGCCCCGGCCCTGCCCCGGCCCTGCCCCGGCCCTGCCCCGGCCCTGCTCCGACCCTACCCCGGCCCTGCCCCGGCCCTGCCCCGGCTCTGCCCCGGCCCTGCCCCTGAACTGCCCCGGCCCTGGCCCGGCTCTGCCCCGGCCCTGCCCCGGCCCTGCCCCGGCTCTGCCCCGGCCCTGCCCCGGCCCTGCCCCGGCCCTGCTCCTGAACTGCCCCGGCCCTGCTCCTGAACTGCCCCAGCCCTGCCCCGGCCCTGCTCCTGAACTGCCCCGGCCCTGCCCCGGCCCTGCCCCTGAACTGCCCCGGCCCTGGCCCGGCTCTGCCCCGGCCCTGCCCCGGCCCTGCCCCGGCTCTGCCCCGGCCCTGCCCCGGCCCTGCCCCGGCCCTGCTCCTGAACTGCCCCGGCCCTACCCCGGCCCTGCCCCAGCCTCTCCCCTGGTAAGAGCGCCGCGCTGCCGAGCCACACCGCCCTGCCGAGCTGCGCCGCCCTGCCTAGCCTGCTTAGCCGAGTTGCACTGCTGCTGCTGCTAGCCTGCTGCTTCTCCTGTCATGGCTAGTCTCAATGTTCTTACCTTTGATGCTGAGGGTCGAGCTGTTGACTTTGAGGTCTGGCTAGATGATCTGCAGCTTTTCCTACAGTGCGATAACAAGGATGGTTTCTCACTGTTCGATCTCACGTCTGGCGCCTCTACTGCCCCTACTGCTGATGCTGACAGTACTGTTCGCTCGCAGTGGCTCACGCGCGATGCTGCTGCTCGTCTTGCTGTGCGCAATCACCTGCCGTCTACTGAGCGCGCGCACTTTAGTCAGTACAAGAGTGCTAGGGCTCTGTACGACGCTGTAGTTGCACGCTACTCCTCCGCTACCACTGCTGCCCTCAGCCGCCTCATGCTGCCGTACCTTTTTCCTGACCTTGCCGCCTTTGCCACAGTTGCTGACCTCGTTGCTCACCTCCGCACTAGTGACGCTCGCTACGCGCTGCCCTTCCCACTGAGTTTCTTCCCACGAACTCCCCCCCCATGTACATCACCCTTTACTACCTAGTCACCCGCCTCCCTGACTCTCTCTCCTCAGTCAGGGATCACTTCCTCTCCCTTTGCCCCACCGAGCTGACTGTCGACTTGCTAGAGGAGCGCCTTGCTGCAGCTGAGAAGAGTATCTTAGCTGTAGGTGCTTCTCGCGGCGACCGTCGCACCCCCTTCTTTGAGGGGTGTTCCCCTGTCCCCCTTCTCCCCTCTGTTGCCTCTGCTGCTGCTGTCGACCTCGTTGGCACTGAGGAGGTCGGCGCTGCGTCTGCCTCTAGTGGGCGATGCCGCACCGGCAAGGGCAAGGGAAGCAAGGGTGGTGGAGGGGGCGGTGGGGGCAGCGGTGGAGGCGGTGGAGGAGGTGGAGGTGGTGGTGGGGGTGGTACATGGAGTGGGGGAGTCGGTGGCGGCAGTGGAGGCCGTGGCGGCGGTGGCGGAGGGGGTGGAGGCGGCGACAGCGGTGGTGGAGGTAGCAGAGGAGGTGGTGCTGGTCGCGGTGCAGCCACGCCGCGTGGAGGCCTTGGTGGCAGCCAGCGCCAGCAGCAGCAGCGCACCCGTGAGACCCCGTCGGTTCAGCAGCTTCGTGAGTGGTACGCTGGGCGTGGGAGGTCTGGGGGTGCGGGTCCCTGCTCTTACGTTCTTCGCACCGGCACTCGGAGTGGGGAGGTGTGTGGTCTCCCACACACCACGCAGCGCTGCTTCGGCCGCTTGACTGACGCTTGGCGTGCCCAGTTTCCTGACGCTGTTGAGCTTCCTCGTTGGCATGATCTGCTTCTGCAGAATGTGCCTATCTTTGATCTAGACTTTGATGCTATCCTTGCTGCCATGTATGCTTTTGCTGATATTACTGAGGGTGACTGTTACCCGCGTGTCCCGCCCGACCCGGGCACTGTGGCTGCTGCTCTAGGTGCTAGTGCGGCTGCTGCTCTAGGTGCTAGTGCGTCTGCTGCTCCAGGTGCTGGTACGTCTCCTCTCTCTGGTACTGCACCTACTGAGTCCTTTCACACCTTCACATTTGACTCTGGTGCTTCGCGCTCTTTCTTTAGAGACAGCACCACGCTCACGCCGCTCAGTCGGCCTGTTGCGGTCTCCCTTGCTGACCCCTCCGGGGGCCCAGTTCTTGCACACTCCTCCACGGTTCTACCGTGTCCTGCGGCCCCGTCGGGCTTGCTGTCGGGACTCCACCTCCCCTCGTTCTCTACGAACTTGGTGAGTGGAGCTGACCTCCAGGACGCGTGGGTTGACCAGTTCACCCCTGGAGGTCAGCGTGTGACCCACTGCACTTGCTCTCGGACGGGCCGCCACCTGGCCACGTTCACCCGTCGGCCAGGGTCGAGTCTGTACACACTGACTACTGCGCCTCCTCCGGTCCCTGCGTCTGGTCAGGTAGCTGCGTCCAGTCAGGTGTTTGCTGCTGCGTCCAGGTCTAGTCCTGCGTCTGCCCCCTGCTCGTGTCGTCCTCTGGCGCACGAGACTCTCCTTTGGCACCACCGCCTTGGTCACCCCTCCCTGCCTCGTCTTCGAGGTATGGCCTCCCGTGCTCTTGTCTCTGGCCTCCCCAGGTCCCTCCCTCCCCTTCCTCCGGGGCCTGCCCCCACCTGTGTTCCTTGTGTCGAGGGCCGGCAGCGCGCCGCTCCTCACTCCTCCTCGTTTCCTCCGACTGAGGCCCCTCTGCAGACTCTTCACATGGACGTGTGGGGCCCAGCCCGCGTTCGTGGACAGGGTCACGAGCGTTACTTCCTACTGGTCGTTGACGAACACTCGCGTTACACCACAGTCTTCCCCTTGCGCAGCAAGGGTGAGGTCACTGAGGTGTTGATCGACTGGATCCGCGGTGCTCGTCGCCAGCTTAGTGAGAGTTTCGGCTCCGACCTTCCTGTTCTGCGTCTG